CCATTGTTGCCACCGACCTTAAAGGGAAGTATTCTCCAGGCAGTCAAGGGCTGGTGCACTCGCAGGCCCACTTCCTGGATAGGATTTTTATAAGGGGATTAACTATGAGCATGACCAAACCCTGTGTTTTAGTCATGCCCATAACGCTGGTTCCCTATGTTTGGTCATGCCTAACAATAGGAGTGACGCAGGAGAGAACAAAGGCTAGTCATGCCATTTCGAGAGGGCATGACCATCATTATAATCATCAGAACCGCCGTGTGTTATTTCGTGAACGCGAATGCGAGGCATCGATGGCGGCGCTGCTATGCCTAGTTCCACGAGATGGGAGGTAATTCCAGTAATTCTCTGTAATTAAAATGCAAGCAAAAGCTTACTGCCAAGCAGCCACGACTCATGTTAATCTCCAGAACATTTCATGGCAATGACAGGGTTTTCAGCCTTAATGGTGTTGCACTATGTGGAGAAGTGAAAGGCACGAAAGGCCATTTTTGGACATAAAATCAGCGAGCAGGATCATTAAATGCAACCAAACCAAACTCTCAGCCTTTTCAGTAATCAATTGTTACTAGCTGAACATTTGCAGAGAATCTTCTTGATTTAATGAATGCCAAATCTTGGTGCTGTTCACTGGAGATGGATGGAGGAGATAGCAGTGTTATTTTCCAAACCAACAGATTTGAGAGCTTAAACTTTCCAGACATTTAGCAGCATATTCAGAAACTGTTAAGCCCTTTAAAAGCATTGTTACCATATTATGATTAAGACAATAAGATTGTAGTTAATGGGTAGGGAATGCCAAAACTTGCTTAAAGTTATTCTTCAATTTTTTGTTTATTATCACATGCAATAACACTGTTTTTACATACAATTAAAGTCAAACTCAAAGCTCTTCTTACTTCACTTGTAGTTGAAAGTACCTTTTTACTACTTATAGCTGTTGAAATAAAATGACCAGAGACAAGTCAAGCATGTTACTGATCTTGTTAGTTCAACAGTTTTATTTCATTATTAAAACTTGTGTTGTATTTGAAAATTTACAAGATCAAATTATTTCATTTACAACCCTTGTTTGCTAGATTTAGTAAGGACAATCCAATCATGTGGATATTTGCCACAAGTATATGTGGAAACATCAATGTTTTTGTTAAGCGAAACTTATTTTGCAAGGTATTTTTCTATTAAGTCTAACTTTGCAGAAAACATTTTTCAACTAGGCCTATCCATTTTTTAGCTTCCTATATTTCATATCAATATTTACATTGCATATTAATTTGCCAATTTGTTTTATTCATCTATCAGTTCTATTGAGGTTGTTAATTAATCGTGATGGCTTTAAAATACCTTCAATAGATTGATAATAAGACTATTTGTGGAAAAGATGACCAAAAAGCTCCCATTCAGTTTCATGTGATTTATTGTTTCATTTACAAATTTTAGCTTGTCTCTAAAATTTACAAATGTATTTCAGCCTGCAAATTGAAAGAAATTAGGAGAACAACACAATTTTTGATTTAAGCTAAGTTTATCTACTATACTAAACTAATGTTTTTTAATGTCTTTTGTACAGTTCTGTTTGGAAATTGTCAGAACTCTGTCTGTATAAATTACCAACAAACCAAAACAGTGTCACAGCTATAAGATAAAGGTCATTTCATGGTGTAACATGATGATTGCTATGAAATAAGAAAAGCTCATTCCAAAAGTAAATCAAAATTTTTTTTATAAGTCACAATCCTTAAAATAAAAATTTCCAAAAGGAACTCATCAACTAAAAAATTGGGCATGGTAAAATTTGGCCACACCCATATTTTTTCAAATTTGAGGGGAGGGCATGACCACTGCTATTTGGCTAGCTACGCCACTGCCCACATACATGTATGTTGAGATGGATGTTACAATGAAAAACCCAACTCCAGTTAACAGATCAGCCACAGCGAGATTGAAAAGTACGACCTCAAAATTGGTTGCATGGTGACGTTTCTTCAAGATAAGATAGATTTCTATGATATTAAGGATAACTGCCAGCACAGCGATGAAGTAAGAGACAGAAAGATAGGCCACTGTTACTCCTTCGATTTTGATTACATCGACCATGGTTTCAATCTTGTATCTTCAAGATGCCAGAATTGGGTTTCTGCTGATAACTCCATAACTTTTACCTGACCCTTTGAATTGAATTCTTTTGCATAGCATCATTTCTTCCTGTTGTTGGAGGCTTTGCTTTGACGCAGGAGGGTAGGCATCTAATGTATCGTAATGATAAGGAGAACACTGTAAAACTACTAAGTAAATAATAAACCAATTAAAAATTGCTTTATGCTGAGAAATTATTTCTGAATTTTTCATTCTAGATACTCAGTTAAAAAACTATAACCGTTCGATGGAAATACCCCTATTTTCTAAATTCTATCCACCCTGCCCAACGAACCAAAAACACAGCATTGCTAAAAATAGAAAATCTTTGTTTGCCACTGATCTTGTGCTAGTTTCTGTGTTTATTTCTGGAGTTTTTCAATAGATTCAAATTGTCTGTTGGAATTCTATTCATTTCTTTATTGATTTGTTTGCAATGAAAACGCTTCATTCAAAGACCTACTTAAGTACTGTTTTCTATGAATCGACCTCTTAAACTAGTGGCCCCTCAGCTTCTATTGTCCACTAGAATGTAAACACTTTTCTATACAAGCGCAAACTAATTCTACCTTCCCAAGGATCCTTAATTTTGAGCCATGACAAAAAATTTGTTTCCAATTTACTTTTCATCTGCTTTAGGTTTGAGGTAAAAGGGGAGAAAAACTGTTCATGGCAAGTAATCTTTATGCGGATTCAATACAACTCTGATGTCGAGGATTTGTCACCGGAAACTGAAAAAGAGGCCCGGAGGGGCAATCGAGAAAAAGCCGACAAATTTGGTTTGCCCTCCTTTGCAGGTTGGAAATATTTTTGAAATTCTTTATCAGATTAGTTTGAGTAAACGGGGAAAGTTGAAAAATGAAAAACAAATATAGTTTTCGGGGGTCACCTTAGTAAACACAATACAACCTTTCTACATATGTAGAATTTTGTTTATCGAATTCGAAAGGTAAAATTTTTCTTTTTCATATATTGCTTCCAACTGGTCTCTGAATAAAAAGAACTGAACAGATGACTTGTATTTATCACTCTCGGTACCCTATTTCTTATTCCCATTGTCAAACATCAAATTTCTAAAATTTTGTTTAGTTTCATATTTTAAAGGAAATTGCAAAGTTAAATAATTTAGAAAATGGATAAGCGTAAAATGAATACCCACTTATACTCCACTTTCTACAAAAATTCATAAAAAGAGGACGGAAATAACTTTTGAAATAATAAAGGTTCAGAAAGTATAAGCAGGCGGGGAGACGAATCTTTATTTTCTTAACTTATTCGTTTTTTTGTCCAAGGTTTTTGGTTTTCATACTTATGCTATCGTAAAGTGCTTCCCACATTTTTTTGCCTTTGACTTGTCCTATAGCAATAATATGACGTAACACGAAGATAGCCAGGATGAGAACACAGAATAGAGATTCTGTGATTAGAATCACCAACAAAAACGAGTTCTATAACCTCGTTTGGAGAATTTTGGCGGGAAATCGTAAATTGCAATTTGGCCATCAAAATACGTTTAGATGTAGCAAACATTTCTAGCATGGACTTCTTTAGGGCGATACTTGAAACAAGGGAGGCATCTTCAACAGAATATTCGGATTTAAGTGATGGACTAAGCTCGACGGATGTGAGTTTCAAGGAGCAACGGAGAGTCTTTATTCATGGTCCCTCGTCTTCCGGAAGAACATCGATACTATTCGAGGTCGTTTTTTCATCCATGCATTTTAATTATATGTATATATAGGCTAGGACATGAAGAACTTATTTGGTCACTTTAATCTGCGTATGAATGGCAAAAGTGAATAAAGAATTACCAACCAAAAACTAAACTAAATGACAAAATAAATAACATCAATCAAGGAGAAGATTAATGAGGGTTTCATTGCATTAGAAAATTAGAATTAGGTTTTAATATTGCATGCAGCCACAGCAAAATATCACTATATAAAGTATTCACAGTTGAAATTGCAGTTTGCACTAAGAAGCATGCTGGTAATGTCTGGCAAGACAGCAAAGTTTGCAGTCATGATCGAGGTCATGTTTGCAGACAGGACATAATAAGGAATTTCTGGAAGCCAAATAAATGGCTCCGGAAAGGTCTCTGGCCTCCATAAATTGAAATTTATTCACAGCAACAACTAAGATCATTTGAAATGCCATTTTAGACATGCCTTGCTACCTGCAATTTCATTCAATTTTATTTTTGAACAATTTTTCTTTTTCTCTTATCCACTTTTTAAGTCAGTTAAAAGCGTTTTCTTTTTTATTTCTTTGCTGCTGTTAAAAGAGCTATATTTTTGTTATTCTTTTGAATTATTTTCTAATCATGATAATATTTTCAACTCTAGGTTGCCTTTCACTATGCAAGTCTTGGACATTCAGTTATTTTTGTCTCCCCTGAGAAAATAACCAAGCTACCAGTGCTTTTTGAAAGCCGCCAAAAACCAAATGCTCCGATACTCAATAGAATCCAGATAGTATATATTGGAAGTAAAAATGAATTCTTGGCATTCATGGCTTCTGTCCATATCAAATACAAAGATGCAAGAACCCTGATTGTTGTGGACAATATCAATTATTTCTACCAAGATTCTCAAAAATGCAACGAGTTAGCAGTAGTGTCAAAGATATTTGCATTTCTTCTAGATGCATGTGCCTTTTTTGGAAAACTCAGGTAGGAAATCATTGTGTATTTTGAATTCAATCTACTTCACAAAGCTTAGGAATTTCCATTACCAGCACTGATACCAAGCTCGACCTTCTTTCCGTAACACTAGTACTTTTTCTGGTTTACTGTTGATAACCAGAAATATAATCTTCGAGTAATGCTGATTGTAATTGGAGTCTGTCCCCCCCCCCCCAAAAAAACAATTCCCCTACAATGTACTTTGATCCAGAGTATGGTACTGTAAATAGAACAAAAGGGCTGTCGCAGAATTTTTCCCAGGAACAACTGAGGAAAGTAGAATTTGGTAAGTTTTCGGCAGTATAAAGGGGGACTTGGCACTACTATTTTTTCGATAACAGATTTTGCCCTTTACCATTCCTATTAATTTTATTTAGGCGGAGCTGTTATCTGCTTCTGCACCTGTGGTACTTTAGACAGCTTCTGGGAATTTCTAATTAAAACGTTTAACGCAAACTAGGGAATTAAACCTGCATGACAGATAGAAGAGTGTTTGGCAATAAATTACCACCATATGCGTTGGTTTTGGAAGACTGCAAGCAAAAAGAAACTCTTTCTGCCGGAAAATGCTTGTTGGAATTTAGTTTTGGTCATGCCCTTGTAAACAGTTTTAATGGAGTATTGCGCAATAGGAGAAGAATAAAAATATTGCGATGAATAACTGCTAAAATTTCGTAGGTGAATATAATCCTTGGTAGTGTAGTAATTCAGTGTTAACTAAAAATAAATTAACAAATTTGTCAGGACAACAAGTTAATCGCTATCTAAATGAACGCCCAAAATATATGATGTTTATCAAAAAAAGATATTTGTATTTTCTATGTTTCACTGATATTCTGCCTCTTGGCGTCATCACAACCAACATTAGAGAAGGATGTGATCTTTTCCACATTTGCTGTTTTCTTTGGTTGAGAGGTTATCTCCAGTTTTGCCTTGCTGAAATAATCTTCGATGTAACCTTTAAAGAAGTACACAAGAGGGTTGACAACCGAGCTAAAGTTGACTAGGTTAGCTTCTACTGCATTGAGCTCATTCTTGTAAAAGCCAACGATAATTGGAACGTTGCATGCAAGAAATGTAGCGACAACCAAAGCACAAACAATGATAGTTGCCTTCTCTTTTTGCAAGGCAACGACCATATTTTTGTCTCTTTCAAGGTCGGTTTTGTCAAATGCAAGGAATTTCGAACGTCTTTTTAACACAAGATACGTTATCCAACAGTAGATTACCAAAACTATTATGCTTCCAAGTGTCATGTAGCTTGCAATGAACAAGGCGAGGTTCCGCGAGCCAACGGAGATAAAGAAGCCCTGCTTGTCTTTCTGGATCATCTGGTCGGCAGTTAGCGACACTGCTGTCATGATAACTGTAAACACCCAAGCAAGTGCCGCCCATTTGAAAATGGTACTTCTTTTTGCATGCCACATTCGATGCCGTATTGGCAGTTTAATCGCGATCAGCCTTTCAATGCCAATAAATATCACAAAGAAGATGGATGATGAGATAGAGAGTGCCATAATGGCAAAAGACGGTGCAAGTAATCTGTTGCTGAGGATTTGTCCCACATACATGTATGTTGAGATGGATGTTACAATGAAAAACCCAACTCCAGTTAACAGATCAGCCACAGCGAGATTGAAAAGTACGACCTCAAAATTGGTTGCATGGTGACGCTTCTTCAAGATAAGATAGATTTCTATGATATTAAGGATAACTGCCAGCACAGCGATGAAGTAAGAGACAGAAAGATAGGCCACTGTTACTCCTTCGATTTTGATTACATCGACCATGGTTTCAATCTTGTATCTTCAAGATGCGAAAATTGGGCTTCTGCTGATAACTCCATAACTTTGACCTGACCCTTTGAATTGAATTCTTTTGCACAGCATCATTTCTTCCTGTTGTTGGAGGCTTTGCTTTGACGCAGGAGGGTAGGCATCTAATGTATCGTAATGATAAGGAGAACACTGTAAAACTACTAAGTAAATAATAAACCAATTAAAAATTGCTTTATGTTGAGAAATTCTTTCTGAAGTTTTCATTCTAGATACTCAGTTAAAAAACTATAACCGTTCGATGGAAATACCCCTAATTTCTAAATTCTATCCACCCTGTCCAACGCACCAAAAACACAGTATTTCTAAAAATAGAAAATCTTTGTTTGCCACTGATCTTGTGCTAGTTTCTGTGAATGTCTGGAGTCTTTTCAATACAATCAAATTGTCTGCTGGAATTCTATTAATTTCTTTAGTGATTTATTTGCAATGAAAACGCTTCATTCAAAGACCTACTTAAGTACTGTTTTCTATCAATTGACCTCTTAAACTAGTGGCCCCTCGGCTTCTATTGTCCACTAGAATGTAAACACTTTTCTATACAAGCGCAAACTAAATCTACCTTCCCAAGGATCCTTAATTTTGAGCCATGACAAAAAATTTGCTTCCAATTTACTTTTCATCTGCTTTGGGTTTGAGGTAAAATAGGAGAAAAACTGTTCATGGCAAGTAATCTTTATGCGGATTCAATACAACTCTGATGTCGAGGATTTGTCACCGGAAACTGAGAAAGAGGCCCGGAGGGGCAATGGAGAAAAAGCCGACAAATTTGGTTTGCCTTCCTTTGCAGGTTGGAAATATTTTTGAAATTCTTAAAAAGAGAACGGAAAAAACTTCCGAAATAATAAAGGTTCAGAAAATATAAACGGGCGGGGAGACGAATTTTTATTTCCTTAACTTATTCGCTTTTTTGTCCAAGGTTTTTGGTTTTCATACTCATGCTATCGTAAAGTGCTTCCAAAATTTTTTTTGCCTTTGACTTGTCATATAGCAATAATATGACGTAACACGGAGATAGCCAGTGAGAATCACCAACAAAAACGAGTTCTATAACCTCGTTTGGAGAATTTTGGCGGGAAATCGTAAATTGCAATTTGGCCATCAAAATACGTTTAGATGTAGCAAACATATCTAGTATGGACTTCTTTAGGGCGATACTTGAAACAAGGGAAGCATCTTCAACAGAATATTCGGATTTAAGTGATGGACTAAGCTCGACGGATGTGAGTTTCAAGGAGCAACGGAGAGTCTTTATTTATGGTCCCTCGTCTTCCGGAAGAACATCGATTCTATTCGAGGTCGTTTTTTCATCCATGCATTTTGATTATATATCTATATATAGGCTAGGACATGATAAACTTATTTGATCATTTCAATCTGCGTATGAACGGCAAAAGTGAATAAAAATTACTAACCAAAAACTAAACCAAATGACAAAATAAATGACATCAATCAAGGAGAAGATTAATAAGAGTTTCATTGCATTAGATAATTAGAATTAGGTTTCAATATTGCACGCAGCCACAGCAAAATATCACTATATTAAGTTTGCACAGTTGAAATTGCAGTTTGCACTAAGAAGTATGCTGGTAATGTCTGGCAAGACAGCAAAGTTTCAAGTCATGATCGAGGTCATGATTGCAGACAGGACATAGTAAGAAATTTCTGGAAGCCAAATGAATGGCTCCGGAAAGGTCTCTGGCCTCCATAAATTGAAATTTATACACAGCAACAAGTTCCACTAAAATCATTTGAAATGCCATTTTAGACATGCCTTACTACCTGCTATTTTATTCAATTTTATTTTTTGATCAATTTTTCTTTGCTCTTATCCACTTTTTATGTCAGTTAAGAGCATTTTCTTTTTTATTTCTTTCCTGCTGTTAAAAGAGCTACATTTTTGTTATTCTTTTGAATTATTTTCTAATTATGATAATATTTTCAACTCTAGGTTGCCTTTCACTATGCAAGTCTTGGACATTCAGTTATTTTTGTCTCCCCTGAGAAAATAACCAAGCTACCAGTGCTTTTTGAAAGCCGCCAAAAACCAAATGCTCCGATACTCAATAGAATCCAGATAGTATATATTGGAAGTAAAAATGAATTCTTGGCATTCATGGCTTCTGTCCATATCAAATACAAAGATGCAAGAACCCTGATTGTTGTGGACAATATCAATTATTTCTACCAAGATTCTCAAAAATGCAACGAGTTAGCAGTAGTGTCAAAGATATTTGCATTTCTTCTAGATGCATGTGCGTTTTTTGGAAAACTCAGGTAGGAAACCAATGGGTATTTTGAATTCAATTTACAATTTGAATTTAATTGAATTCACAAAACTTGTAAATTTTCATTAACAGCACAATATTAGTGTATATTGTTAATGTTTTTTTGCTTTCCAGTTTATCCATTGACAGACATTATTGCTTCAGACTTAAGGAGTTTGCTCTTTGGAGTTTTATTTTCAACCTCAGAAAGACTCCATCAAAAGGACTTATCCAAGTAAAGATAGATTTAGTAGAATAATAAGGGTAGGTTGAGAAATTTAACAATTTGTTATTTGATGAAAACTTTTGGCGATGAGAATGTTAACAGGTTGATGAAATTTTCGAAATATGAGGTACTTTTCTCTGGTGGATGGTATTTGCCTATGGGTCCTGAAAATGTAAAAAAAACACATCAGGAAATAAGAAAAAGCCCACAAACACAATTAGAAGTTAGTTGAAAAATAAAATTTCACTATTTATTGCTATCTAAACCATCCTGGGAGGGTAGAATTTGGTCTGTAGAAGAAGTCACTGATAATAGAGATGGTTGAAAAAGATTTAAAATTTCAAGAAAACTGTTTTGTTGAAATATAATGGCCTCTTTAATTTTGGGCACAACTTGATTTCTTTTAGAATTTCGGTTTTGAACCATCACATTATGATTGTTTAGATACAAAATAATAAAAAGAGAATCAAATCAAATTTAAGAAAGAGAATTGTAGCAATTCTGTGTAGTTAACCTTTAATGTATATTTATGATATCTTTGTGTGATTTTTTTTAGTTAGTTAAGAAATTAGTTTGATATTTGATACTGAAGGTCCAACTTCTTATAAGTGGATATTCAAAAGATATTGTATTTGGAGTCATAAAAGGGCTATAATTCAGCAGAATTTCTAGCTGTTGCAAATTTTTCCTGTTTTTACCACTGGTCTTGAGCAAAGAATAGTTTTGATATAAGACATTTACATTCTCTTAAAGCCATGCATTTCATTTACTGAAGGTTTCTTGAAAAATAATTTGTTGTATTTCCCTAGCAAAAGCTCTGGAAGAAATGATCACAATGTTTTGATTGATGCTAAATAAATTTTTAGGAAAAATTAATATTAGAAATTTAAGGATATTGATAAGTCTTCTTATCAATATCCTTAAATTATTTACTATTTAGATTCCTTTATTTCTTATTCCAGCAATATGAGGCTTGGTTCATCATCACCACCCTGTTCTGTGGTCTGTTCTGCTTCTGCTCCACCAGATTCCAGTACACTCAAATCACTGTTCTTGCACTGGTTTCAGGATTGCTATTGCATACAAAATAGTGAAGAGAAGGATTCTTATAACATTTTTCTTCAGAAAGAGACAGAAAAGAGAGATTTACAACAACCTATTCTCAGTTATATCATAAAAGATGACAAAATGTGGGTTGAGAAGAGATGAGTGCATGAATCTTAGGAGTCTGGTATGTTATTATCATATTTTGCCTTTTTTAAAAGCCATGATTGTTGCATTGACTTTTTAGTCTTTACCTGTTAAGTTGAAATTAAATGTGTCTCTTGGTCAGTTCCACACTACAACGAGAACCTTAATGTGGAGTAAATAAAATTTCAATTCATCTAGCCTTGTCCAGGCCTTTTCGTTTGATCCCAGCACTCTGGCTAACCCAACCTTGGAGCATTTAATCACTCATGCAGAATGGCAAATTATAAGGAATAAATGTATCATCAGTTAAAATACATTTCTAGTCATCTTTTGTGACACAAGCAAGTGACATAGACCATACAAAGTTTTTAATATATCAAAACACAGGAAACATATGGAAGCACGTCTCATATGGAAACACATCAAAAGGAAAAAATGCATTTGAAAGTCAATTCCACTGCAAATGTTTAGGAATACTATAGGTACTTAGTATTTTAACTAAAACAGCACATGGAACATTTCCATCGCATTGAAGTGTTATTTTAAAAGATTTGGAACAACACTTGGGATTATCTGGCAACAATGTGTATATGTGATGTACATAGAATTTATAAACGAAGTATTAATGTTGGGTACAGTATTTAATCTCTCTTGGGGTGCATTGAAGATCACTCATTTTCGTTTTATATTACCTTAAACAAAATTACCATATAACAGGATTATATGGTTCTTGTGAATATTACAGATGCTTTTAGCATACTTGATTATTACTATAATGTTTAGAGTAATTGCTGGGCCACTTGTGTGGGCTATTTCTTGCAAAAAGGCCTGTTGGGCATAAATAAGAAAAAGTTTACTTTTCAAAAGGGAGATGAAATGCTGTAGTATGAAATGAAATAAGAAATTTGTTTTCCAACCAATTTTTTTCAAATCGAAAATAATTCCAGGCTGGAAAACTTGCATGTTCTTACATCTATGCTAGATTTCTTGTACTCACACCTAAGGTGTGAGTACACTTTAATAAACCTATTGTGACCTTGAACCCATTGTGACCCAAATATCAATGAAATCATGTATATAAACTAAAGTAATAACGTATAATACTATAGTATTGTATATATGGGCATCATTGCTTGCTTCTCAGATGCTTCCACACATGAGATAATGTGCTGTTGGTCACATTGACGGTTCTGCAATTTCATACCCAACCTGGTAATGATCAAGGCTGGCTACACTTATCGCTTAACTAAAATAGCAGTAAAAATTTGAAAAGAAAACGGAAATTGTGAGCAAATGTGTCCCTGTCATTTGGGGGCACGGTTTGGGGCAAATGCTACACAAATTTTGGGGAGTTTCTCTGAAAAAGTTCTCCTGAGAGGTTTGCATGATGGCAATTTCAAGCTTTGTTTTTTGGGATGCTCTCTAGCACAAAGAAATGGTGTTTCCCAAACTCCTCATTGATCCCAGAAGATTTTCCTGTGGGCCTCATTGTAGACACAACATCTATGTACCCTTCAACTCAATTTACTATTGCTATAATTCAGGTGAAGAATGACCATAAAGCAACTTTTAAAAACAAGTTTTCTATATAATCTGTTAATGTTTTTTAAGAACAAGGTTGAGATGAGATTGACTTTATGGTAGAAAGTTTTTGCTTGTCAGGCCTTGAAAGAAGCCCTCAAGCTCCATCAAGTGAGTCTCGCACACCTAAAGAGTTCTAGGAGCTTGATTAATCAAGCACTTAGCTTGTTTACACAATCAAAAGACCAAATTTGGCTATTGATGATATCTGATATTGCTCAATTGAACACCTAGAGAGTTTAAGGTGCTCAGGTTGTCAAGCAACTGATTTTCAGCTCTTGACAAAGACTGTTGCTTGTTAAAGAAATGGAACTCATTGGTACCTCTTGACAACACAACGATTGAATCTTAAGACACAAGTACATTTTGTTGCATATGGCACATAGACTCTGGATGTTCAACATCTTGTAATTGTAAAGTTCGCCAGTCACTAAAGATATAGCAAACAATTGCACTGTTGTTAAACTGTGTCTTTTAGCTAAATTTAAGGTAGTTGGAATTTAAATCATCTTGATGCAGGGTTATTAAATATTGCTTTCTAACATATTGTAACAATACTATATAATTATCTCTAGAAAATTTGGTTAATTGGTATTGATATGACTATGACCACCATCGTTTGATGCTAGTGAGCACTCTCTCAAAACAAGAAAGGAATTAAAGCCTTCCTTGTGTTTGGATAAAGAGGCCGGTCAAGCTCGCCATCAAATTCTATGACATATGCGTTGTGCTTCTTCCTGCCATAAACTGTCAATGTGATAATTGTTAATAAAAGCAACAGTGCTGAGGGGAGTGTCCACGTCAAGATGAAAAACCCCAGCCATGTGATTATCTCAAACATGTAATGGGGACAGGAAACATAGTTGAAAATATTCCCATGTGGCATAATGTGTCCTGTCTCCAAAGACACAAATGATTTATCTTGCTTCTTTGTCCTGAAAAATCTTAGCTGCAAATGACACCAAGCATTTCCAAACTCCCCAATCAAAAATAGGATGACTCCTGTGACAATCAATGGGATGTAAGTGATGACAAAGCCAGTGCCACTTATTGACTGTGCAATTAGGAGTGCCAGGACCCAGTAATAGATTGGAGCACCAACGCATTCAATTAATGGCATCCTGCGATTGTATAAATGGACAAATAGTACCTCAAACGTCCGGCGAAGAAAATGGAAATCCCATAATGCCAACATGAGGTATTTGACTGCTGTTGATGATGGAGAATTCTCTGCCTCCAAAAGGCATCCTTGAACAGGGAAGGGTAGCTTAGGTATATCTGCAAAATATACGATTGTAAATGCGGCTATGGTGCCAAAGTATGTTATGAAGTTTATTATCACTGGCTCGCAAGAAATCATTTTATTTGAAAATATTTTTCCAACCAAGCTACTCTGTCTACGAATGACCTTGACTGTGGTCGTCCTGGGTGTTGTAATGGCCCTGAAACTAATAAGCTTTATACAACTCTCGTTACCAAACCAGACCAACCTTTCTAAAGAAGGTGCCACCTGTATCTGCTCCCCTGTCTTTATTCTGGCCTTCAAAAGAGATTCTGCTACAAACGGAGGACTGTTGTACTACTTCCGGTTTGCTGCATGCCATCGAATAAAACCATACAAATGGAAGAATTACAATGTTATCGATATGTGTATGATCTACATTGCCCTCGGCGAGATCGACTTTGTAAATCCGGTGGTAAGAGTCAGAGAGGTTATATTATTAGGTATTCTTCGTGGTGCGATTAGACTCTAATTGAAGTTGAGGCTTGCTGTTCTCAATTTTTCAAAAACTTTAGTTCTCAATTTTTCAAAAACTTTAGGTTGGAATGTTATTAATTTGTCCTGCAAATATTAGGTTTTAAGCAGTGCAATCGCTAGCTATTGTGTTCAAGGGGAGTGTTCAGGCCCCATTTGCCAGGAAAGTGGGTGAGACATCATTTATTTGCCGAAAATTCGAAAATTCACAGACAAACCACCCCTGGATGGCAAAACAGGGCCCACGCCACGAATCTGAAAGTGGGGGGGGGGGCAAGCCTAGCAAATATAGGGTGCCAAGTCTTCTCTTCCCCTTTATTGCAGCTCTAAAACTACTTGCTTTGCAATGAAGTGGGGGGCATGGCCACCCCGTCCCCCCGGTGGTGTGGGCCCCTTTTGAGGTGGGAGTTTTTTAGGAGTCGCAAGGCCTTTTTTTAAAACAGCTTGTTCATAATTTGTTCTTAACTTTTGACCAATTTTGCGGCTCATGTTTTTTTAAAAAAAATTTCTTATCAGAACTGCATAAGCCATGGCGGGTGCCCAACTTATTTTTTGGCTGGGTCATAGACAAAATTTTAGCACAACCTTTTTCGGAACCGTTTTTTGCCTGATGCTCGCGGGAACAAGGGGTTTTTCATCTAGAGTTGCTTCATCGGCAAAGTTTCAAACATTTCGGCAAATAAAGGATGGCTAACCCACTTTGTCGGCAAACCGGACCTGGACACTCCATTGAGCAAAATAGCTAGCGATGGTCCTCGCCTACAATTACAGTGGTATTCTGTTGTTACATATTCTGTTAGGAACCAAAAGAGAAGTCTGTAATAGCGGGAGCTCTTTATACTGTGGGTACGGTATTCAGTTCGTAATAGCGAAAGGTTTGTATTAAGAGACTTCTTTTGAGCAGAATTTCACTGTGCAACCTCCGCATCCTGCCCCATAAAGAGACCGAGTGCTAGAGTTATTACGCCATGAAGTCTGTTTTAAAGGATTCTTGGGCCGCGTAATCTCCAAGAACTCAATTTGCTTGAGTTATGGTGCCCAGTGGCCATGGGTTTCCTTGAGGAATCATGTTGCCGATAAGAAGGAATGTTCGATGTTTTTGAATGTGCGGTTCTTGTAGAAAAACTCTGACTGATGAACCAAGCAGTGAAAAAAATTAAAAATCTTTTAAAGAGTATCATCAACGAACAAAGTGCGTTATTTTTTGGTTACACATCTAGCAAATAAATCGTAGGCTATGTAGTTATAAAGAAAATGGAAGAAGTGTTAAAGACAGACGTCGCTAATTCCTTTGTTTGTTTCTATTCATGTTCATAGCTTAACATGTGCTAGAACGCTTATTGAGTTTTAAAATTTTGAACAGTTTCTTTATTTACCTTGCAATGTAAGCAGCTTTTTTTTATTTTAGAACCTTGCCATGCATGAGAACCTTGCCATGCATGAGAACCTTGCCATGCATGTGGATGGTATTACTCTGATAAATTTGCAGAATGACAAAAGAGAAAATTCTGATGCCAAAACAAAAATGGAATGAAGTTGTTTCCAGCATCAACTAGGTTTGGCGTTGTTTAGTTTCTAAACTTTTTTCATTTTCTGAACTAATTCGTAACGATTGTTGAATCTGAACTCGCTTAGCAAAATCCAGGTCATGAAATGCAGGGACTGAAGTAGTTTTAGGCCCCTCCCCAATGATTTCCAAATTATACTTAAAACCATACAAAAATTGCCTTGTTCTTTGTTTTCAACATGTTTTGCCCCCCAAAACCTTTTAGCCCCAAAAAGTAAACTTTTTAACCCCCTCAGTCTGTAATATGCTTCATTCGAATTTATATGGCTCTGGTAACAAGGGTACTAATATCTCGAATTTGCTCACTCGCACGCGTCTGTATCTTAGCAGAGTCCACTGCAGTGTTCATTTTTCCATAGTTAATGAGCCAAAACTTTGAAAATCTTCTTTAAACAGTAAGAACTGGTTGGGCATGGGTGTAGTTGCTGATTCTTCTAAACAGCCATCGTCACGATCAAAGGCCTTATGAACCTTACATCAAAATAGCTACTTGGATCGTTAGTTGAGGTGGTGAACAAACTCACCTTGAAATATCGTGTAATTGCATCATGACCTTTCTGAGTTTACAGGACATTCAAGCCTCAATGCTTAGAATTTAGAATGACTGTGGACTTCCTATTGTAATAGTTTTCGATCTGCGAGTATTGCTTCAAATTAATCATTTAGCTAGCATAACCGATTTTTCGTGTTGTTACTTGCATAAAGTTTAGAACTTCGTTATAGATAAATGTTTTATTATTTCTAAATATGTGTTTCTTAGTGTTTATCAATCTTTCGAAAGCAGAAGGTTGATTCGAAACAAAACTTGATTGGGCAAACATTGAACACCCTACAGTAAAGTATTATCGGAGCAAAATGTTCATTTGCAGAGATCCAAATAAGCTGAAGGGAGAATGTTTCGTACATTTCATTAAACTATATTTCAAGGTTCAGCATGCCATTCTGTTTATCAAGAAAGCTTTATAAACAAACGAAGCCAGCAATTACCTCTTTGCCGCTGCCCTGCTTTGCGTTCATTTTACCACGAAATTTAATATTGTAATTTATTCTTTGTGAAAATATTTCTTATACTTCTATAAGTAATGCAATACGTCTTTTTGCTTCTTTGTACTTCTATGAATCTTTTTGCAACCCAACCATTTTTCCATGGAAGAAGCCTAACCACGTTGATATAGGTCAACCATTGAAAAGGAATCGTTTTTGCTTGAAAATAGTTTAAAATCGGTTTATCTAGCCTTTGAAAACACTAACGATGTCAGGTTTTTTATAAAATAACTTTCCTCTACTGCAAAAGCTGAACGTTATTAATAGTTTAATTACAGAAGTATTATTTTGTTTTGCAGCACAGTTTTCTGCGACTCTTACAATGAACCCTCGAATCGCCCCACACCGTTACCATAAACCGCTTCGATTTAGCTCTCTTCCTGGAAATGAAAACTGTTGATAAGCCCCCACCCTTGAATGAACACTATGCTCTAACGTGCCAATTTTTGCTGCGAAGGATTTTAGTCCACTGTTAATCACTTATTCAATGGAAACGGAAAACAACGAAGCATTTTAACACTGATTTCATGCTCAATGTCAATTTGCAGGATGTGCTGTTTCTCGAAGTGAGCTTGGAAACATTTAATAAGTCTTTTAAACGTGATATTTCTCAAATAACTTTTACGTGCTTCGTTTAAGCCCCCCTCAAATTAACCCCCGTCGGAAAACTTTTGAAATCAGTGGAAGTTTCAAAGGGGGACAATTAGAGGTTTTTCTGTTTACGAGGAGGTGTTCGGGTTTTGAATTTTCCGTTAACGCGATTTTTCTCATATTTTGGCTCGCTTTTTCGGTTTTTGCCTAATAAACGCTATTGCGCTGAGAAGCGATGTGACGTCATTAGCTGACATAAACTACAACAGCAACAGTTGATTTGGCGAAACATGTCTAGACATCGTGATTTTGATGAACAATGAAGATTATACGAACGAAGTTCACGCGGTGTTACGGAAATAGGAAATATCGCACGGTTCTTCGGTATTAAGAAAATTTTGAATAAATCTACGGTTTCTGGGACCCTCCAAACGCCCACCTCGTATATATGAGCAGTCTATATGTAATGGCTTCGACTTGCAAACAGTTTTGTTTGTAACATGTTGGCGTTCATTTATTGCTGAAAGCGGCCCTCAAATACGTAAGCAAATCATCCATCCGGTATCAATTCAACAACCCATTCCTTATCATCAGCTGCAAGCGCTGAATTCCATTCCACAGACCTGCAACGACGCACCTTGCTCTCTTCTTATTCACTGAATGGTGAATGAGATCAATCAAGAAACCTGTCACATGGAATGAACCATTTTGTTATCAACCAATCAGCGCCTTATTTGCTGACCCAAGGGCTTCATCCGCACATAGGCCTCTCTTTGGGTAGTATCAGGCATGTTTGAGCTCCTAATCTGAAACAAGAGGGTGTGTTTTTTTTCTGTCTGCTGCAACTACAGCTTGAAATGGTATGTTTTGTTGTGGATACACGTATAAATATGCCGTGAGTATGCTGTGATGTATATGTACTGGATATTGCTATGGAGTCTTCAGGTTAAAGAACGCAACGTTGTATTTTCTATAAGAATGCTCAAGCTCCACAGTGGACTGTCTTATATTACATGAGCGGAATTGTTTTAGTACGAAATAATAAGGACAAATGTAACTACATTGAGAACAAGTTTCTTTAAAAAGCACGCCTTGTTCTGCATACTTCAAACAGGCTGAAGAGTGCATTAAGGAATATTGTACAGCAAGTAGTTTTGTTTGAGGAAAGAGTTACTACCTTCTGTAGGACAGAATGCAAAAAGTTCGCCGAGTCCGCTTCGATGATCTAGATGCGGCTATTACCGCAGAGCGGCTTACGTCAGAGATTCGCAACTGCTACGAGACGGTTGACAAAGGCCGAAAGCTACTAGGAAGACTGTACGAAAAGCTTGAACAACCAAGTTTCGAAGGGAGGACATTAGACGGATATCAAAGAGATTACCAGTTGTTTATTGAATTAGATAACTTACGGGATGTGTTGCTGCAGATTGCAGAGAAACGCAAGCTGTATATAGAACAGCTAGCCAAGGCTGAGGATATTGTTTGGCATGACAGACATGAGATTGAAGATTTTTTACGGATCTACGAATCGACTGAAAAGCGCCTCCAACGAGAAGTTGATTTTTTCAGTAGATTCCCTCAAAAACCACAAAAGTTGGTCTTAGAGTTGCAAGAGAACAGTCGAATTCTTGGCGATCTTTTAAGTGACTTAAAAGAGCAGCTGATTGCCGAGGAGGCATTCTTACGCAATCGGAACTACAACGCAGTCACCAGTGGCAGTTTCTCCGCGAGCGCACGTGATCGTTGGTCTTATATTCAAGGGAGAAGAGGCAGTCATAATGATGATAAAAGCACAAAAGTTGATAGAGAGAAAGGGAATGGGACTACGCAGCCCGAAAGGAATGCATATGTCAGACGGTCTGAGTTTGGTGATATACCCAGGCATGATATTCCATCAAGAGATCATGGATATGAAACTACTTCGACCAGTGTAGGATACAGTCTTTCACCAGAAAAGCGAGAATTTCCCACTTTGCGCCAACCAAGAAATGATGCCAGAGAAAGGGGCAGTGTTGATGAATACGATACAAGTTCTCTCTCAAATAGACTTAAGCAGCTTGTCAAGCAATCTGATAATGTGCAAAAAATGATATGTAGCTACAACCCTAAAGAAAAGGACGGCGATAATTACTCAAAGAGTATAGGTTCTGAATCCAGGCCCAATGTTTCTGATACGGCTTTCACTGAGGATGAGACAAGAAATAACGCTCGATTTGAAGACAATGAGACTAAAAAACCGTCTGGAAGAACAGTTCACTCCCCAGGTATGGGGCTAAGCAGTGGAAAGCAAAAGAGTGATGAAGACTCCAGGGGAAACATGGATATGAGCTGGGTGTTAGAAAGATGTGATGAGATTGAGCGGAAAATGCAAGAGTGTTCTCCCATAGAAGTGCGTGAAAGGTTGCTTTATAATTTGAATCAGCTAGAAGAAGCCGACAGAGACCAGAAGAAAAGTAGAGCATCCGCATATTCATATAGCGTTAAAGACAAAAGTAATTATGTTAACCACGATAAAATCCGAGAGGATCTTCTTCAGTGTTTGGACAAAATGTTCACCATGGAAAAGAGTTATGGCAGTGCAGGGGAAGAGATCAAAAATCTGAAGAAAGACTTGAAAGAAGCATTGAAAAGCAAAGACGATGTGGAATTCATGCTAAGAAATGAAATAGCGAGATTGAAGATAAAACTGGACTTAAAATCAAAAGATGTTGAATTCTACAATAGCCGGCTGTCAGAAACGAAAAGAAGCTTGTTTGAACTCAAAACAAAACAAGAGCGAGATGTGAAGGAAGCTGAAACGAAAATTGATGATGCAAACACTGAAGAGTTGAAATTGTTGAAAGAAGAATGTGAGAAGCTGAAGGAAAAAGTAGAGGTAAAGAGCAAGGAGGTGGATGAACTACGAAATGAGCTCCAGCATGCAATTGATGAGCTCCATAATGTCAAGGCTGGACCAGCTGCCTTGCCCAAGAATGCTGCTACACAAGACGCACAGGCCCGAATATTGAGTTTGGAGGCAGAAGTTACTCGTTTGCAGTCGACCAGTGAAGAAAGCATAGCTGAAGAGCTTGCAGCTTTACTGAAGGTCATCGAGGCGGCAGAAACAAAACAGAAGAAGGTAGATAGTGAATTTACGTCTCTTAGTGAGAAGTACGATTTGCTCAAAAATGAAAACTCGAAACTGGAGAGGGAAAACGGGGAGCTGCATGAAAAGCTCCGTGAAAGTGAAGATGACAATGTCGAGAAAATGCAAGAACGGCTAGAAGAATTGCAGCTGATGCTTTTAGCTAAAAACGCTGAAATTGAGTACCTGGCTAGAAATGCTTTGACTGTTACCGATGTTTCCTCAAAGGAAGACTATGGAGTTGACTTGCAAGTAAAAACAGAAGAGTGCAATGAACTTCGAAAGAGGTTAGCAGAATATGAAGAGCTAGTTACAAATAACGGAGGGGACATGACCCAACGTCTTGAAAATATGTATCAGGAGTGTCTGAACACGGTTGAGCAAGTTCGCGGAGAAAAGAGAAATCTGAAAGAGGACTTTAAAAAGCAGAGGCAACTATATGAAGACTTGTTAGCCGAGTGTCACAATGAGATGAACGAACTGAAAAAGAGACAAATCAGTCCAATCGAGGCTAAACAAGTATTTGATAAGAAGGAAGTCCTTGAAGCCTTACTCAACAGCAAGCGTTCACCTGAGCAGCTTGCAGAAATTTTAAATAAAGAGTCCTCTGGTCTTTCCTTAGTCAGAGAAAATGATAGCCTTAAAAATGAAAACGAGAAACTGCAAAGAAAGATTTTCAACTTTGATAAGGAAGCGTTTGCGTATCAAAAAGAAATCGAGAGCCTCAAGCGAAGGAATCAAGATTTGAAGGAGAAAATTGGTTTTATGAAATCTGAGAATTATCTTCTGAGTAAAATTCGAGAGGATGACGGGAACACAAAAATAAAGAGTTACAAAGAACTGCTGCAGAAGAAAGAAGACGAGTGCAGCCGGCTGCGTAGAAGTCTTGATGAAAGTGTTGGCTACGAGGAGAGAGACGAGCTACTTGGTAGGTTGAGAGAGATTCATAGGGAGTTATTACGAAACGATGATATAAAAGAAGACCTTGGCTTTGAAGAATTGGTCGAGTCTTTAGAAAAGAGAGATCGCGAAAACCGAAGGCTTAAGAGACAAAATCGATTATTGTCAGAGACACTTGGCCTCAGTAGCCCAACAAAAAGTGTATTTCTGGAGAAACTTACCTCAGAAACTGAGAGTCCTCAACTTACATCAAAATTAGAGGAAGAATTGAATGACGTAATGGAAGAAAATAAGGACTTGAAACTGCAGGTTAAAGATCTTCAGCAGAAACGGGCAGAGTCAGAAGAAACAGAGAGTCAGTTAATTAGCTGCAGAAAGACGGTTGGTGATTGCGAACGACGGATCGAGAAGCTTGCAGATGAAAACATTGGTCTTCGCGAAAGGCTAAGACAGTCTCAGAATGAAGTAAAGGAGCTGAATACCCTGAATGGCAGCAGGAATATAGGTCAAGGGGAGGATGACCTGATAAAAGAGAATGTAGCGTTGAGAGAAAAAGTTTTGATGAAACAGATACAAATAGAGCACCTTGATAGCGAAGTTGAAAGACTCAAAACGAATTTGTCTAAAAAGGAAATGGAGGCTAATAAGCTGAAGGGTTTGCTTGAATCCAATTCCAAAGCCAATCGTAACACTGAGATTTTGAAAGAACAGGCAATCGAAAAAGATGAAGCAATCAAGGAACTGAAGAAAGCCCTCGCGACTGTTGAAAAGGAAAGGAAAGAGACCAACGAAGCTTATTTAAATCTAAAGATCAAAAGTGAGGAAGAAAAGAAGCATTTCAAAAAGGAGATTGATAGTATTCAGAGTGAGTTAGAGGCAGTCATGTCTAGAAAGCAAAACCCAGTTGCAGAGACGGCAAATCATGAGGCATTTGGAATGACTGACGTAGATGGTGGAATAAAAAGACATGATAGGATTAAACTGATAAGAAAGCTGCAGGCAGAAAATCACCAAATGGCCGCTCATATTCTCAGTCTTGAAGACGAAACAACAGCAATAACAAAAATAGTTGCTGATATGGAACGTGGGCATGGTCATCTCACTGGCATACTGAGAGGCCATCTTGTTTTGCAGAAAGATTCGACGGCGAAACTGCTAGAGAATTCTCTGCATCAATACACTGATGAATTCGATTCATGTCGAAAGAAGTTTATGGCCGTGGAGGACCGTTACGATAAAGAGAGAAAGCATCTCACTCGCCGAAGCTTCGCTTGGGATCTCTTTGCAAATGCAACAGCAACTGTTGAGAACATCAGCGCTATTATTCATGAAGGTTTAATCAAAGTTGAAGACGACCTCGAGCGTGATTTTTCATCTGATGAAGATTTTGAGTCAAGGGACTATAAGTCTAGGCTGTGGATCCTGAGGCGGAGGTTGGATGATGTAGAAAAGCGCTACAGAGACTTGATGTTACGTGCGGAGGAGCTTAGCGTTCGCTTAGATGCAAAGACTGCAGAGTATGATTTCACGCAGGACGAGCTAGAAGATGCTACTAGAGTATTGGAGTTGAATGAAGTGACTATGTCAAGGACACGAGAAGAGTTGCATGATGCTTTGAAGGAGAATGCTAGGTTGAAAAACATTATGAGCCAGCTAAAAGAAACCCAAGAAAGAAGCGCCATCATGGAAAGTGAGCTACTAAAGAAGGAAGCTGATCAAGTAAGCGATGCTCAAGCCGCAATGAAAAGACTTGAGTTGGAAGTGCGAACTCTGCGTGACAAGCTTAAAATGGATGATTCCGAGATCAAAGATCTAAGGAGGAGGCTGCGCGATCAAGAAAAACAGGAAGTGGAACGTTTTGATCGGATGAAGGAGCGGATAAGGCAAGATGGAGAAAGAACTGATAACGAAATTAATAAACTGCAGAATGATTTAGATAATGCCAAGAAAAGATCGCAGGAAGCAAACGAGAGAGTACTTCAGCTTGAAGATTTGCTCAAAAAGGCGGAAGAAAAGAACGCAAATTTAGAGAAGTATCTACAAAAAGCAAGAGCTGATTGCCGAAGTGATGGCATTGATCACCACGGCACAATTCATATGCTACGAGATGATCTGAAAAAATTGTTCAAAGAGAACGAAAGTCTCAAGGAAGAGCTGAGCGAGAAACAGAAAACAATTGCATCGCTCGCAAAAGATCTACGCAAGGCCAAAATAGCTGTGAAGGAGCAAATTGGTACAGAGAGAAGTCTTGATGAGAAGGTGCTTGATAGAGCTGCCAAGGATCAAATAATGGCATTAAGAAGACGTATCAACGTTTTAGAAATAGAGAAAGAGCGTCTAATGAAAGGTGCCTCCATCAGGGAACGGGATCAAAGTTTTGATGAGAAGAGAAAGAGATCCTCTCCAATCAAAGGGTCTTCTGGAAGATTGCGGGAGGAATCATCAGCAAGTCCTTCGTTGGGTGATGACAATCTAAAAAGCAAAGACAGTAATACAGCTGGAAGCCTCAGTGAAGGTGTCTTTGGTGAAGTAGAAACAACAGAAGGTGACCTAAGTCTAGCTTCAGTGGAATCATTTAAAGATTTCAGTGAAGATGTGAAGCAGGAAATTGAGCTAAGAGATAATCTGATCCAGGAGCTCGAGGCTAGGGTCAAGGAACTTAAGTTAGAGCTCGCTAAGAAATCCGGCAAAGATGATGACTCATTTGTTGACGGACGAGGTTCTGGAGTGTCCTTACTTGTGGACGAAAAGACCATTCAACAACAGGACTTAGTTGCTTTGAAAAAGGAAAATTATAGACTGAAAGATGAAATTCAAAAGCAGAAAAACATCCCTGACAGTTACCTGATAGTTCAGAAGGACGATATGATCAAAGGTCAGCGAACCAAACTTAATGAATTAGAAAAAGAAATCACACAGAAGGACAAACAATTGAAATTCTTACAAAAGGAGGTTGCTGATTTACAGAAGCGAACAGAAAAGGGTTGGAAGAGCAGAGAAATTGTTCTGCTAGAATCGAACAATCCTGAGGATTCTGAATGGAAGTCTCAATTTGAAAATCTAGAAAGTTTAAAAGCTGAAATCGATTTATTGAAAGAGACTTGTGATAAGCAAAAACAAATCATAGAAAATTTAGAAGCAGAGTTGAAAGTCAGACCAGAACAGCCAAAGGAGGATACAAGAAAGTTCCAAGAGGAGCCGGAGCTTAAACAGCATGTCGAAAGTGTAGTCGAAGCGTCCTTTGAGTTTCCTACTGAACAGGCTGATGACAAGAAGACATCTAGGAGAGGTCCACAGTTTATCAATATTGGGGAGGCGAAGCAAAGCAAAGCTAAGGATAAAACTTTATCACGAATACCAGTATCACCAAGACCTAAACAGGCAAATGTAAGTCAAGGTAAAGGTGCCAAAAGCGATGATAAGCACGTATCTGACACAACCAAAGAACAGTTGCAGAAGAAGGTACAGGAACAAGATGAAGATATAAAGACGCTCTTGCAATCAGTGGAAATATTCGAAACGGAAGTTGAAAGTTTGCAAAATCATGTTCTTGGGCAAGATATGCTGAACGAAAAGCTCAAAAAGGCGGAGGCTGAAGTAAAGAGTTTAAAATTAAAAAATGGAAAATTGCAAGATCAAGTTAAAGAGTCAAAGGCTCATGATGTAAAATTGCGGGATCTCGAAGAGAGAGTCAAAAAGTTAAGCTCTGAAAACAAAGAAATGGAGCAGCAAATAAAGAAGGATAGAAAGAAACAAATGGAAGAGGGAGAAAGGAAAAAGTCGCAGCTTGATGCAGCAACCAAGAAAGTAACGGCATTACAAGGAAAGATTGACGATATGAAGAAGTTGCTTGAACTGAAAACTGCACAGTTTAATATTGTACAGGATGAGTTGCAGGTCACAGAGCAAGGAGATGACAAGGCTCTTCGCAAAGCTATAAAAGAATCAATTAAAAGAAAGATTTCGGCCAGCGAAGCAAAAGCTTCGTCTGATCTTCACAAAGACTTGGAATCTAGAATGCAGCGATTACAGGACGAAAACCAAAATCTGATTTCCGAATTGAAGATCAAGAATCATGAAGCAGAAAAAAGACTGACAGAAGTAGAAGGCTTACAAAATAATTTGGAAGAGGCTATTTTAGAAAAGGACAACGCCAAGGAAAAGCTTGATGAGGTCAACGATCGTTTACAAAACATGGAACTTGAGAATGAAGATCTACGTACGAGGAACATTGCACTGGAAATCACTCAAGATGCTGTCAGTATGATAAACGACAAAGTGGAGAGTAATACGGAGCTCGGAAGTAAAAATTTGAGCCTCGACAATCTTGTAGTGCAATTGAAGGAAGTTTGGGGCGTCTTAAAAGGCTTATTGCAGGATTTCGGAGTAGTTAAGGAAGAAGACGTAGCGGATTCTTTGTCAACTAGAATTGGGGACAGTAATGATCTAGAACAGATTGTAGCTGAAATGGAAAAAGTCAATCATCTTCTCATCCAGCAATCAGTTGACCTTTCAACAGATCTCAAGAAGCAGGTTTCTGCCAATTCTGAGCTAGAAAAGAAAGTTGAAGAGTTTAGAAAAATAATTGAAGAGACCAACTCTAAGATTACAGATCTGGAAGATGAGGTTTCGGAGAAGGAGAAGGGTGATGAAATAGGTCATAAGTTGCTTTTAGATCAGATTACTAACTTGAAGAAGCAGGTTGAAACATGCCAAAGAGACAAAACAGAGCTGGAGATTGAAATCGATAAGAGACAGCAAATTGTTGAGCGTTTGTCTGACCAAATAAAATTTTTGGAAAAGCAGGTGTCAATAAAAGACTCTGAGAACTCTGAAATTACGCAGCGCGCTCTTGATAGCGAGGAAGATCTTGAGCAGATGAAAAATAGGGTTGAAGAGTTGGAAGATGATTACAACAGGCTGTTGCAGTTTGGCATGAGACTAGAAGATGCTACCGAAGAAGATTCGAACAGAGAGAGAACAGAGGAAGATCAGAAACAGCTTGAATCTCTCAAAGAAAGAGTTCAACAGCTAGAGGAAGATAAGCTAGCTTTGCAAAAAAAAGTTGAAGGTTTTACTAGGAATAAAAGCACAGGAGATTCAAAAGAGCAAGACGAAGATAAAGACAAAGTGATGTTGGAAGAAACTGTTTACCGACTTGAGCTAGATAAAGCTGATATGCAGAAGAGACTAGATGAGTATTCTGAAGCTGTTGAGAACAGTGAAAGGCTAGAAGAGCAACTCAAAGACAGTGAGAAGAAGGTACAGAATCTTGAAGATGCTATGTTTAGACTTGAAATAGAAAAAGGAAAATTGCAGAAGAGTCAAGAAACAGGTGACAATCTTAATGGTGGTGAAAATCAAGCTTTGGTTGAAAAAATTACGGAGTTAGAAGATGCAAACTTAAGAATGGAAGAGGCTATTCTAAGACTTGATTCAGAGAGAGAAGGTCTTAAAAAGCGGATTAATGAATTGACATCTGATGAAGCAAAAGGCGATATTAAAGATCTGACGTTACTTTTGATTGATAACGAAGAAAAAATTGCTGATTTGCAACAAGAGAAAAGAGACTTAATTGCGAAGCAGGAGGAACTACAAAGAGCTATTGATGATATGCTTGCTTCTCCAAGAAGTGGTTCTGATAACGAAGGAGAAGCGACTGATGAGGAGCATGGAATATTCAACGGTGGTCCTAAGTCATGGAAGCGTCGACTCGTTGCTGCTTATAGAGACTTGAAAGAGAAGTCTGTGGAGATTGTAATGTTGAAGATGATAGTGGAAAGTAAGAATGTAGAGATAGATCTTCTTTCTAAAGAGCTTAGTGAAGAGTCATATAGTATCAACGAAAGTTTTGGGGATGACTTTTCCAGTAAAAGCGGAAGATTTGAAGTTCAGCAACAACTTAGAGGCACTGTTCGTATGCTTCAAGAAGAAGTGAAATTGAAAGGTACGGAGATAAACAATCTTCGTGAAGAAATTGCTGCACTTCAAAATACTCTGCAGCTTCAAGAGGCATCTGTTGGAGACAAAGTAGCAGTAAGGATTAATGGAAAAGACGGTAATGAAGTCGAAAATGAAAATTTGCAACTGGAGATAAAGAAGCTAAAGGAAGCCCTGGCTAGTAAGGAAGAGCAGTATGATTCGCTTTGTGATCAGCTGTTCAATGGTGATCCAATCGTTACTTCAAGCCAAAATGAAGATTTGATGACTGAGCTAGAAGACACAAAAAGTATTTTAGCTGAAAGGGAGAAAAGATACGATGATCTTGAAGCGAATTATGAATTGGTGTATAATGAATTAACAAAGATGAAAGCTGGTATGGGGGACAATGATGTCCAAGATTCACAGCTTAGTATCCACGAGAAGAAGACTGAAGAATTAGAGAAAGCATTGTCGGATTATGAAGAAAAGTGTCGCTTGATAAGTAATGATTTTGATGAATTGGAAGATAAGTATAGAGAGGAAATGAACTACGCTTCTACTCACATTGGCCAACTGATGGTGCAAATAAGTGATCTTGAAGATCAACTAGAGGTTATGCGTCGAAAGAAGGAACAGGCCTCAAGCAATGACGATAACGATGTCTTTGCAGTGAAAGTATTAGAGAATAAACTTAAAGATTCGGAAGATGATTTGAAAAGAAAGAATGACCTGATTTCTAATTTAAAAGAAACTCTTGCCAATTTTTATGACAATGCCGAGGACCAGTCAGGTAAGGATATGTTTTTCTTTGAAATTTTCTTCTTTCTGAAATAATCTTCTTTTAATTGTTTTTCCTTGGTAAAATTTTCTTCTTTGTAAAATTACCTTCTGCTAAATATTTACCCTTGGTAGAATATTGTTCTTTGTAAAATGATCTTCTTTAAATTGTTTTATTCTTTGTACGATGTTCTTCTTTGCAAAATCTTTGCAAATCTTCTCCTTTCATAAGTGCCTCAATATTTATGCATATTGCAGAAATCAAACTTTATGTCATTGCACATTTATGCACCGCGAATTGTTTTTGTGATTTCTCATCTTGCATGTAGACAACTTTTTTCCTTTCGCAGAAGCATTGTCGAAGGAACTGAAGCGAATTGCCAAGGAAAACAGGGACCTACAAGACCAACTAGATCTTCAGAAGACAAGGTATGAAATAGAGCTCGAGAGCATGCGATCATCAATGACAGCCTTAAAAGGGGAGCATGTGACGTCATTAAAAGAAGACTTCGAGAGAGTTTGCAATGATAAAGTTGAGCTGCAGGTTAAAGTGTCGGAATTGTCAGAGAAAGTGTCAAAGCTTCAAGAAAAAATTGGAGAGCTTAAAAAAGTAAATGAGGATTTGGAGACAAAAGCAAAACGCAAGGAAGAAGATGCTGTTCTCAATTTACTTGACTTCACAGCGTGATTTGCTAAAAACTAATGATACTGTGTTGCATTTTCTTCGCCGCTTTGCAGCTTGTGCAACTAGCTTTTGTAAATTGACAATTATTTAAGCATTTCGTTTTTCTGGACATAGTTTTTAAATGTATTGTTACGCTAACTTTAACAAAGAGCTTTAAATTTAGAAAGCTCTGTAACTAAGCCATAAATTTCCTATAAAATTTCACGAAGAATTAGTTGTGTCTCAAGCTGCTTTTTTAGATTTTCAGGCACAATGAGTTTGCATGGAAGGATAGCATTTTAATATTGCCATAATAGTCTAACACAGACACTAGTTTAATTGAATCACCCCTTGAATAGTGAAATTCAACTTTTATTTTTATTTTATTAGCATACCCTGAAAATGTTTTTTAAATTTATGATTACTTTCTTCTTTATATCAAGTTTCCAGTATTTGTTAAAGTCGGTTTTTGCAATTTTAAACGAGTTTTGGTACTTTATTCATGACTTTATTGTCTTGCTTTGGTTCTACATCGTATCCAGCATTTTTTTGAAGTGAAGTGGCATAGGCAATTTTTGAACAAGAACTTACTCAAAGTTTATAAGCAGAATAAACGTGCTGTTTGCTGCTCAGCTTAACTCTAATTACCTATTTTCTGCTTCGGTTTCTTGCGTTTTTCGGGAACATGCATAATTGGATGCTTTTCACCAGAATATTTGTTATGATATGATACACTACTTAAGAATAATTAACCTAAATGGCACTGTTTATGTTGCCTCTTCTTTTAATTTTCCTGAATCCCCGACAAGATGCAGCTGATTGATGGAGTCTTTCTTTTGCAATTCTAGTAAAAATTCTGACAATTACACTCATTTCTCAAAAGCTTTAATTTGATAATGGCTTGCAGTATGTATCTTAAAGGAGGGTTTTCTTTAGTTATATTTTGGCTTTATGTTTCCTTTCCCAGTTTGCCAATCTAGAAGGCAGATTTTAAACAGTATCATAATTGAAAAGTAGCTGTTTCATGGCCTGTCGCCAAGGCTTCAATTCCCACCAATTCACCCTCTTTTAAGTTAAAGAATCTGTTTTGTTGATTGCTGGCTAATAGAAATTTCCACATTTTCTAGGCGCTGTTTTGCTTTCTTGTATGTCTCTTCTCTTCAGAATGGCTGTGAAGTTCATTTGCAGATGAAGCGTTGTTTATCTTTTGAAAAGTTTCCATTTTCCTACGCAACCAATGCAATGAGAAAGACGAAGTTACAAATGCAAAAAATGTTTACAGAACTACTTCAAGGAATAAAGTAGTTGTACAGCCTGGCAAGGAATTTCACACTGCCATCGCATACCCACCAAAGTACATGAGCAGAATCAAAGTAAGTGTTCATCCTCCCGGTAGCCAGTCAGTGAAGCTTTTTAAAACCTTTGTTCAAGAAGCAATAAAAAAGAGGGCACTTTTTGGGTGTACTGCCATGTGACTGCCAACTTCCGGACTCTGGACCTTCATCTTCGTCTTGTTAAGTTGTGTTTTTACCCGGCCTTCTAAGTAAGGTTTTAGGACACTGATAAACTGTGATTACCGAGTAATGTCTTGGCCCTTCCTCTCGATGTGACCACACCTCGTGATTACTACGCCTGGAAATACAGAGAGCTGGCGACTCTCTTCACTCAAGGGTCATGTGAGTGACTTAAACCACAGAGGCCTTAATCCGCAGTCCAAGACTCTTGCCATTGAGCCATCCTCACCCCTATAATAAACCATCTTGAATATGTTACGAAAACAAATACGAATGAATATTTTTATTACATACGCATATACCTATTCAAATAAATGACAAGAGGAAATAGTCAAAAATGTGTAATTCAGAAAGACTTCTGAAGGGCGACCATTTTCACGGTCACTTTAGCTCCGTGACCGGCAATCTTTACTGACTCTGACTTGAAACATCTGTTGACTGAATAACACAACACAAACACCCTAAGAAGACAGGTAAAATATGTAAGTAAATGTTATAATTTCTATTCGAAGAACAGTAACATTTAAGGATAATGTAAATCCAACAAGCTATAATCTTTTTTGTTAGTCTTGCAGACATTATCTGACGTCTTTTAATCGTACAATCATCTTAGCTTGCTCTAATCAAAACATAATTTTACATGAATGAAATATCTCATTCAAAAACTCTGTTTGTCGAGTGCTTGTGCTGCTTCAACAACCTAGCCAAACAAATCTTTGTTGTATGCAGTCGGTCAGTTTCTGATCTTAGCAATAAAATTCAAGCCACATGCTCAATAACTTCTATTGCAAACACAAGATCTAGAGATCAGCTGATTGTGAATAATTTCAACCTGTCGTAGGGGTCTGGCTAACCACCGCAGTTGACTATGCTTGACACAGATTTCTCATTGAATCAGCTCTCTCATACACGGTAATCATGGAAGCCAGGTTAGCGAACTTTCAATTTTTATAAGTATTATTTTCCTTATTTGCACAAAATTTCAATAAACTAATTATCAAAAGCCTTTATGCATCTGATTCAGGTAGAAGGTTCAGCAGGTAAAAAAGTACTCATTAATTTATTCATTAAATAAGAGTGTTTTCATACTGAAAGTGTTGTTAAAAACCTTGAAGATGTTTATGTGAAAGCCAATGTGAATATTAAGTTCTTATCTCCGGGAGGAAAAAAAACTAATTTCTTGTCACCAATCAAGAATTTTCAAATGTTTAAGCATTTTCTGCAAGCCGTCTTACTGCGTTGATTTCATGGCATTAGAATATTTAGATAAGGTTTAGCCTTGAGGAATATCGTGGTATCAATCTTGTATTATTTTACTACATTAGGTGACAATTTCAGTATGTATGAAAAAATTTCCTATGGCATGTATATTCAAAATTAAAGATTTAATTAGTATGCTAATGTGAAGTGGGCTCAAAACGGCCTAACAGTGGCCTAAAAGCGGCCTAAAACGGTTAAGAGTTTCGTTGGATACTTCAAAAGTCTCTACATTGTAAATCCTTGTAGATTTGATAAATTCGCATGCTTATTTGTATGACTTATCGCGCTGCTTCAGAAATTGGTCACACACATACCCATCCCTGAATAGTTTGATGCGTTGTGTCTTTACATGTGGGGTTTATTAAGACCTCTTTAATCAATTTAGTACATTGCGAATCAGTTGATACCTGTTTTACCTTCAAAAGGGCGAATAAGAATGATTTTGCCAGATTCACATTCGATGCGATTGTTTTTTAAGTAATTTGTAAGTTTTTGTTTCTTTCAAGAGAAAAATAAAGAATTTCTTTTCTACAACTATGAACAATTTTTCAATTTTTTCGTTAGGTTTGACGGGCAACTCTGCATTATGCAAAAATTGTTAGGCCTAAAAACTCTCTATATTTTGGTGGACGCGGTTCTTTGCTAAAGCAAAGACTTTCTTTTAGTGGATTTTGCCCTCTTTCCTTGTCCTCTGCTTCTTTTCAGAAATGTTATAGTAGGCTTAGCCAGGACCTCCGAGAGGGGACGGTGTGGGGGGCTATTTGCCCAAGGGCCTCGAGGTCTAGGTGGCCTCATGATTTAGTGCATTTTAATTTTAAGAATTGAATGAATCCAAAAAAATGTTTTCAAAAGAATAGTAAGATTTTTTAAACGATTGGAAGAAAATGACTAAAGATATATTATGAAATTTATTTTAAGCCAATCTACAGGGCGCGGCCACAAAAATTTCCAGGGGGCCTCGCCTTCAGTTTTGCCAGAGGGCCTCAAAAACCTCGCAGTAGCCTTTGGGCTTATCATGGAAGTTTAAACCCATCTTTAATCGTTGTCCATCAGCGTCATGACTTCTGCAAAGTGTATTTTCACTGGTGCTGGTTTATAGCACTGACGCGATTCAATTAAATAGTTTCTTAACAAGCTCCAGTAAATGTCTTTGTGTAGCTATTTGCTAGTTATGCAAGTTCGACGTATAGAATAGTAGTCCTAGAATCTTCAACGTATGTTTTCCATCCACTACCCTTAAAACCGCACGTTTCTCTGTTAAGTTGTCTCTTCCTTTTTGTTTTATCGTGTGAAATGACTCCCGCGGTAATCCTCGGGTCTTTTATCTAAATTGCACCTGCTTCTTTGAGCTATATTTTTGGAAAACAGTCAACTGAATGTTCTTTCTCTCGCATCCCAAAGCTTGTTGACCAGTCTACTTAAAAACAATCCCCTGCCTCGATGTCATATTTCCTGTCTTGAAACTGAGGACCACCCTCCAAGGCCATTGATGACCCCCTGTCGCTATTTTTACCGAATTTCCAGCCCCATGCAGCTCCAAAGCAACTGCCGTTGTACAGTTTAATTATTGATTCGACCCATCCAGCTTTTAATTATGAATTAGTAGCTAGCATCCCACAAACCTAATCTGTCTATATGTAGTTGTGCAATCAGTATATTCAGTAATTCTCTGTTTCTGAAAAAACGTTTCAACTGTACAATTGCTTTAATTACTTGATTACCAGAGTCTTAATATTTCAAAAAACCTAAAGCAAAAAAGTAAAAAAGGCTGGAACACGAAAAACCCACTTCCCCCTCCTCTGAGCTCCTACATGAAATTTTCTTCAGTTTTTAAGCCTTTGTGAAGTCAAGTCCCAAAAAGCTCAGCACGTACCTTCATGAAGGTTTTATGTTATACTTGAATTGATTATAGATTTTGTGTTTAATCAGATCGGTATTCTTCTGTGCTGGTCTTTCGTTGCTTTTAATTGTAGAAAATACGAAGTGGTTTTTTGTTTTATTCGAAGTGCCTTGTTCCGAAACTATATCTGCACCTAAAATTGCCATCAATCGTTATAGAACCAAAAAATATTTCAATTTTTTTTGTTACTTCTAGCTGGTGTAGCAAGAGTTTAACTTTTTGCTCATGACAACATGAAACATGGTCGCCTTAATATCGATTTTAGCAATCTGAATTCAGCGCAGCCCAGTCTAACATTCAAAAGAACCCAAATTTATCCCCAGCCTGTACTTTTATCCTGTACTTTTTCGAGAAATTTAAACTTTGCCATATTTCCAATCTGAAAGCGAAGATTTTTCGCAAGACTTTTGCCAAAGAATTTATCGAAGACTATTATTGGAAATTTTAACCAAATTTTGATATTTTACAACTGCAGCCTACTTTTGCCAATGAAAATTTTTGTCAATAAAAATGGCCCTTTCTTGTTTGGATTTGCCCCTTTCGTCACTACTTAATTGACATGCTCCCTTGTTTGGAAGTAAAAGAGGGTTTTATTTTTGAAAGAGGCTTGAAAGTCTCCATCACTTGTTCATTCGAAGTTTTTTGGCATTCGTGTTGCTGCTAAAACGGGAGATTTCTTAGGTCAAGAGACTGAAGTTCACAAAAAAGATCTCCCAAAGCTATAAAACAAATGTCTGTTGTATTCATATGTTTTGCCCAGTACCAACCAATACTAGAGTATTGGTTTTTAATAATGAGAATTCAAATAAATAATTGATTAGTGGTAACAGTGAGGTTTTTAACAGCAAGCAATTTCATAAGGGAGCTAGCTAATATCATTAATAATAATGCGCGTCCATGCAGGTCTTTGTGACACTTATCAAGAAAAAGCCATAGCAGAACCGTTTATTTATGGCTAAATATCATTGATTACCTTGTCTGTAAACTAAATACAATTGCTCAAACATCTAGTATTTTCAAGTGTGTCATTGTGACAATTTAAACATTTGGTCATTAATGGTCTGGTTTCGAATCTGCTTTTTGAATCAACATGCAGTCATGAAGATTCATTGCTTCGCCAGCTAATAACAACATATTTTCTTGGTTTTGTTTGGCTGATTTGCAAAACTCTTCCTCCAACTTTTTTCAGCGTTACGTTCCTGTAAACTTTTGATTAACAATCGCTGCACATCTTCACAGGTCTAGCAGATCTAAGGCATACTCCCGCAATTTATCCAAAGTAGATTTTTAATTCATACACCTAAACCCCATGAAAAGTGCTTGATGAAGGAATTAGGCCTATTTTGCATTCCCCTCGTTACTTTCATCATATTGTGAACACTTTTCTTCCCTTCTCATTCCAGTGAGGCTAGCATTGCCATGCTGACGTTCTAAGACAGGGGTGCCAACTGCCAGCCCGGTTAGGTGAGATCCAACTATGTGAGAGGTTGGATCTCGCTTGGGTGGAATGAAATTTTTCCATATAAACGTTGGAAGGTGGCATGAAGCTGGAAAGAGGGATGAAATTTTCATATACACGCTTAAAGTTTTGTCCAACTTTAAGGGATAGAAATTTGCACACAGGTGGGATAGAATCTGCATGTATTCGTTCGATAATTTCACCCCACCTGCCAGACGATGGGCTGAGAAGTGGGATAAGTTATCTCATATATACAGGCCCTAAAAATAACTGTTGAGGGAACTCTTCTGAATAGTCTTTGTTATAATCAGTGATGCGTGTGATACATATCTTGGTCTCTGGCACCTTATTATTTTACTTTGGTCAGTTTTAGACAATAGTTATGCCGCTTTGCATGGACCCTCACAATACCACAATTTGGTCACGTGGCTTCGTCATCTAGCGGGTTTAGTTTTGTATTTGTAAAAGACCGATCCTTATACAGATTTACAAATTATCATCTCTATGTTACAGATTGCGTTTTCTATTCTGACCTGACAGTGCCTTGACAGTGCTCTATATTCAGTAACACAGAGCAATTGATATTGTAGTAAAATGTAGTAGAAATGTTCGCTGTTTCCCCGAATTTCGTGCTTGCGCACTCATCAGACAATCTGATGAGTATCCTTTCTATGTCATTTCTGTAAGTTGGTTCTGTAAAGTTTGTAAAGCAAGAAGAATCTTTCACGGCAGCTGTATAAAATTATCGTGTCTAGATGTAAGACATGAACTCGTTATATGATTGAGAGGGATATTACCTTGATTGATAGGCTGTCAGTTGTTCCTAAAATTGGTGAAGAAAACGAATATATTGTGAAATGTGAACAAGTCAACTAGCGTTAAACGTGAAAGCTTCCATAATAAGTGCAATGTTTGTGACTGTGAAAATCCTGGTAGATTGTCGAACGAGAAAAGCCGAATATGATGATTTTCAATCCGGGCACTATTGCACGTGTATCGTAAAAACCCGTTCTACTTCTTAGACCCGTTTACACGGTCCCGTTCAAAATCGGAACCGTAAAGGGTCAGAACAGTTTTGTCACAGTTTTGTCGGAACAGTGAAGGGTCAGAACAGTGTAAACGGGATTTTAGTGTAATGCGCAAAAACACTTTGACCCGGTGTAAATAGAACAATTCAGGGCATCAGTATGTTCTCTCGAAGTTGATTTTTAAACCTTTTTACAGCGACCAGTGTTATTTAGTATCATTTGCATTGTCTGGTCGCAACTTTCCTTAACGTTACAAACAACGTATGTGTGATGTTACTTGTACAAAAAACACCTTTTCTTATAAAGCACTGTGTTAGTAATCATTAAATAATAACACATTGCACATTCTGATTCAGCAACCATAGCAAAGTATTTGTTTGTTTTGGAGGTCCAATTTCTATTAGCATCTCTAGGAATGATGTAATTTGTTATATTTAATCCGATTTGTCATCGAATTTTCTTCCGCATAATGTGCTAAATTTCACGCATCACCTTTTTGGCACTCAGACCTGAGTAGCGAATTAAAGTATTGTATTGTATTGTAGATTATTTAATGTTAGTTTTTACAAAAGTGAATATACACTAATTAAGACTAACATGAAGCAATTTCAAGGATTGCATAAGACAGTTCATTTACTGCAAAACGAACATGCGCACTTGTTTTCAAGGAACCAAGTTTTGATCAAATTCTTAAATTGTCTAGTACTTTGTGTTGTCTTTATGATTCCGGGAGTGAATTCCAGATTTTAGGCCCTTGGAAACTTAATGATCTGATACCATTATTGGTAGTTCTGGCTTTTGGAATGTCTAGAAGGTTTTTGAGTCGAAGGTTATGACCTGTTGTTTTGGGTACAAAATTGTCTTTCATGAAAACAGGATTAAGGTTGTTAAGTGTTTTATAAACTTCGAGCGCTAAAATTCTAACTGATTGCACATGTATGGTAGTTTCTTTTGAGTTAGCAAATATCTCTTGGGTACGCTTTGAGGGTGTCCTCAGCTGACGATGCTGGAGAAAATTTTATGATTTGTCATATTCCAATCGAAGAGTGATTCTTAGGTTTCTTTTATAAAGTATCCTCTAAACCTTTGTAAAACTGCAAAAATAACTTATTTATAAAAAAAACAAAAACAGAATTTTTCTGCATATTTTTCTATGTGGTTCATGAATTAAAGTCTCCCTATTAATAACTTAAGTGAAAAGCTTATGCCAGACATCATTTAATTGCAAATTTCTTAAAGGTAAATTATATACTGCTCCTCTTAATAGGTTTATAAAGGCTTTTGATGCATCGAAAGACCTAATTCAAAGCTTACCAAATTCAAACCATTCAAGAAACCATCGTTAAAAACCCATTTAAAATCGCTAACTGCTTTCTTTTTATTGCTCTCTGATTTATGTATTTTAGGGCTTGGTTGCAAACCCATTGCCCTGCAGCTGTTTCGTATGAATTTATCCCCAATTTTTGTTTTGTCTGTCAGCTACTTTTTTCAACATTACACACTTGCAAGGGTTGAAGCCTTTGTTCTTAGAAAACATGGACAACAGTATATCGTCTAAAGCAGAAAATGTTAGCAGAGCTTGAGGGACAACTGAGCTCGTGGTTAGTTGGTTATAAAAAGAAATTAGTCCATAAGTTAGACTTTATACCAAACTCATTTTATCGATTCTTAGCATTAAACAAAGAAAAATTAGCAGAGCTTGGTAGGTGATTCTCTACCCCTTCCCCTTTGTTGGTTCGTTACAAACAAGCTAGCTAAAAAGACCCTGTATCACACCTAGTACATATGTGACTAGCTAGCACAAAATGTTTTTCTTAAATTCTATTTCTACACGGTACCTCGAGAAGTACCCACATCGCCCGACCTATCCTCCAGGACTACCTGATAACATTGAAGATAACAATGTCTGTTTGCTGTATAAAGAGTCTGCCCTATTGGTCGTTTGCAACCAGAGTCACTCGCCTCTCTCTACCCTCATTTCCTCCTCAATCTAACGAAATGCAAACGTTGTTGGTTCTTTTTCAGTCATAAGAGAAACAACCCCTTTTGAAAACCTTCTTTCTTTCTCTCTCTGTCGCCCCTCAACTTAGAAAGACTTTCAATGGCCCCTCGGAACAGTTGATAGAAGTATATGGGCAACGAGGTTATCTTATTTTTTACATTGCCCACGACCAGCTAGAATTAAGTATCGATTTTCGTAGAATAAGTTGCATGTGCCAAAACATGTATTTGTTACATTTCCCTATGCGAAGCATGAATAAAACATGGACTACATTATACTGCAACTGCCATAAGCAGGGAACCTGTTTATGGTGATTTATTGATTTTTAATGCTTTCCTTTAAGATTTAGCGTAGATCAACATCAGACTTTTATTTTTAGGCAGGACTTAATTAACAGGTGATAATGCTATCTTTCTTGACAAAGCCATATGGCCTAACGAGAGTTTAAAGCAATTCTAAAGGTAGTGATGATTTATCCAGGTAGTATTTCAAACAGCTTGAATTAATTAGAGAATTATTATCACTTTTATGGGTATAGATTTGCGAACAGTCTATGCTTACTCATTATAACAGATGGGGCTCTTTATTCAATTGTCAGTTTGTGGATGCCTGGAAAATTAGGTAGACGGGGGAGCAATCGGAGTTAGGACGTTTGTATCACTTTAAGTGGGGATTCATGTCACTTTTTTACCCTTATTGGCACTTTGTATTTATTCGCCTTAACGCTTCTCTAAGGTGTCTGAAGTTTTAAGAAAATGTTACAGTAACGGAAACATGCTGATAAGTAATTCTAGAAACCAAAGTGAAATTTTAAGCCTGGTGAAAAACGCTGAAAAAACCCTCCCCCACATTTGTTACCACCAAAATGTGCAGCACTTTATACATAATCTCTGGCTTTTTAAAAAGAGATTTTGTAATAATGTGCGGTAGCTAAAGAAATTTAAACTGTGCGTACGAATTAGCTCTTGACCCATAATTCAGATTTTATAATTTTGTATTGATCATTCTATGTATCCCAATTCTCCAAACTTTACTTCTCCCCTTGTAAAGGGTCGCGTGTTCCCAGGCCACAAGCGCTTTACGGATAACGACACTCGTTCAACTTCTATTTTAGTTATATCTTGGACTTCTTTTATTCTTCGCATTTAAAAATTATTCAAAAAGCTTAACTGTAAGATTTCTTCAAAGTTTTTCTACACACAGTTTTCGAGCTGTTGTCAGCTTCCGAATCCATTCATAAATGATTTCTTAACTCTAAGTTCTGAGTTATGTAGAGCATTTTGTACAATGCAAAATGATATGATTGTATGGAGATGGTTCTGTTGCCTATCAAAACACGATCTGAAAATTCTTGCTGCGCGATATTCATCAAATTGTTATTTTCTATATAAAATATGGGACTATATAGTTGATGTTTTTCAGTGTTACTTTCGATTGCAATTCTGAATTTCGGGAGCTCGAATTGAAATCGGGAGTCATGGGATAGACAAAGGTGACCCATGAATGAGGGAAGGTGTTCCGATTGACGGATAATTGAAGCTGTTTCTAACGAGCATTGTCAAAAATAGTCAATAAAGCATTTCAATGACGCATCGATAAAATATTAAACTGCGCAAATGACACTTGAATGAAGCCCTACCCCGGCATGCAGGTGGCTAGCATTGGTGTGGGTACCTATCTGAGTAACAAGGCCCATGAACTAGCCAATCAAACTGCAGTTCAAACAATGGAATTGCCTTTTTTGGTACATCCAAACTACTTGGGATGGAGAGTGATTAATAAATTGAAACAGCTCTAGCGGGTATATCAAGCAAGCTGCAAAACTGAAGAGCTCATATCAAGTTGTAAAGCCTGTAGCTGGTGACGTATTTACTAGTCTGCACTGATTGCGCGCTGTATTGAATACTGCAAGTGGAAGACACACATCTAGTGTTAAACAAACTTGTATTACTCTGATTGATTTACCGAGGTCTGGGAACGCACTCCATAGATTCTATTGAAGATTTCTGAAATAGAAGGTGTTGAAGCAATGGATTCAAACGTGGAGCAGAAGACGGCCGTGCGGCTTGAAATTGAGAATCTGGAGCTTCTTGCAACCGTAGAGAGCCAAGAGGGTATGATTAAGTCAATGAAAGAGGACATCAAAAACTATGGCTTTGGAGACCGAAGACAAGAGATACGCGCACTTGGACACGAACAGCAGATAATGGACTTTGAGCAATCCTTGAGAAGCAAAGATTTAACCTTGCAGCAGCTGAAGGAAGAGCTGATCACATCGCAAAGAGCTGTAGAAGATGTCTACAGAAAGTATGAGCAAAATCGCAAGAAAGGAGAAACGCGGGAACAGCTCATTCGCCGGCTGCAGAAGGATTTGCAAGAAATGCATGAGTCACTTGAGAAAGCACAGGATGAGAAGCTTGATATCGCCGACAGGATGAGGCAGTTGCAAAACGATAAAACTGCTTTGAAACTTGATTATGACTGGTTGAGAGAGAAAGTGCAAACGATAGAAGGAAGCGATCATGATAAGATGGAACATGATGAAATAGATTCAGGGTATCTTAGCAAGTCCACAGGATCATTCAAATCCACCAAAACAAACAGCGTTCGAAAATATGAAAGCACAAGCGACGGAGACCGGCAGTTTTCATCTAAAGTGGAGCATTATTACAGCTCTTCATCGGACGATTCTTCTATGAAACCTGTGGTGAAGCATTTTCATGAAGTCGAAGAAGGATTTCGCCGTGCTATGACATCGCAAAACAAAGATCTAAATCGCGAAAAGGAAGAGTTGATGCGAGAATTCAAGACGCTGCAAACACAGCTATTGGATCTGCAACGAGAGCACGAAAATTATGCTCAAAAGGTTACAGAGAAGGATAAACTGATTGAACGGCTGAAGTCTGCAAAGGCAGTTGTTGAGAATGATCTTGACACGATTGTTGGTGAGCTCCAAGAACTGAAGTTGAGCAACGAAAGGCTGCAAACGGAGAACAGTGAACTGAAAAATGATCTAATGAGTAGCCGTAATCATGTATCGAAGTTGGAGATCGAATTTGAAAATGAAGCGAAGCAAAAAAGCTATTTGAGGGAGCAACTGGAAACACTGACTGCAACGAGCTCACAAAGCAGGGAAGATCATAGCCGAATTGAACAGCAGCTGAGAGAATACCAGCGAAAAATTGATGGAATGAGCAGAGAACTTGCGGGCAGGGATAGCGTTAATCAACAGTTGAAAACAAGGGTCGTCAGCCTAGAAGGTATGAAGTTATGCTATGTAAATCAGGGTTGCCAGAGCATTCCGTATGCTAAGGAGAGACATAAAGGTGTTCAGATTTGGCAACAGCCTAAAATTTTTTTTTTTGGTTCACACCTCCTCTAGCTCCTCCTCTGGGCCATGTTGAACTCAAGCTGTTTGTATAAACATGGGAGGGGGGAAATGAGAAGAAATTTTTCTTCTGCAAGTTCGTTAAGCCATTTCCAATTAAACTGTCTTTTATAGATATATGCCATAATTTTTTAACATACCTGTCTATAACATGAAGTCATGGAGGCTCTTTGTCAAAGTATTTTGCTACAATATGAAACTACTGCACTAGTTGTTTCGGAAAACACGAAAATCACCAGATTTTTTATATTTCAATTCTATAGACAGACTGCATAACATTCATTAACTGTTTTTAAGGCTTTGTTAGAATAACTGCCAAATATACGCGAAGACTGTCTTGACTGAAAATTGAGAGCAAAATCATATTCATAACGCTATATACATACAATTAACTTTTGCTTCATAGGTCGGTTTTTCCTTTAAGCTAAGTGATTGTGTAAATTAGGCTCAAGGGTTTTCTCGTAGAAAGAGAAAGAACATGCATCTCACGTACTTGAGACAATCGAATGTCTATGAGTATTAAGAGCAAATTTATTTATGATAAACGTCTGATACATCCGAAGCCACAGACTGAAAAATATTTATTGCATCTTTTTGCCCTGAGTTATTCATCGTCTGAATCATATTAAGTGGTATTGATTAATATTTAAAAATCTGATCAAACGCATCAATATTTACAATGGTACTTGTCAAAACAGTTGGTATCAAATTTGCGATCGTGCTTCAATACACAAAAGACGCCATTTCTTCTGCAATAGGTATTCATCGTTCCCATTAAGAGCCAGCCGGGAACTATTAATCCCCCTCCTAGGGTTTTCAGGTTTCCATTTCATTTCAAAGTAAGGAACTTTGTTTATTATAGTCCTGCATTTTCCCAGGTACCTTCGACTGTAGGACAATGCTGCATCTTATCATGACCTGGTCGAAATTTTAATTTATCGAGCCTTTGTTTCATTATGCCCCCTTTAGTTTTATGGTTAGACAAAGCGTTCTTGAAGTTGTAACGTTTAATACGAAACACACTTTGGGAACAGAGGAGTCAAAAAGTCTTTTCCCCATTGAACACTGATCAGGTCCTTAAATTCTTATAGCGTTTTGTATGTTTTGTGGTGGATGAAAATAAATCAACTCTTCTATAGGAGCACAATACTTCGCAGTTTCCTGTAAAAGACATAATGTGTACTGTTTCTACTTTTTAAGCATGTATAAAGCTGCTTATGATACGAAAGAACAATATCAAACTACAAAGCTATCTAAAGGTCCTTACTTGTGTTTTTGCAGTGTCATTGTTGATGCTTGTTTGGTTTTAGAAGGATATTCTGTACAGTGTAGTATTTTTGTTATCTAAATCAAAATTTCGGTATGGTTTCTTTGAAAATTTGATCAAAAGTTTATATTTTGGAAGGCCTTTTTCAAATATTTCTTCTATACATCTTCAATGATATCTTCCTAAACCAAGGTATCTTGCTTCATTTGTTATCAAACATGACGTCATCTATCCCACAATGCCTAGATTCTTTAGAGATTGCTTAATCAGAATAGGAGTTGTTGATGTTGTCGAATAAAAGTGCGAATAATGTCTCAAAGGCGAAGTTCGGCGGGTCACAAGGATGACACCGCAACGCGTGACTCAACGGTTATTATTCATTCTATAGAAACTAAATTCTTGATAGCTGTGTCATTGCATTTCTTAAAGACGAGAGAAAGATTAATCAACAGAATTGGTTTTTCAAGCTTTAAGTATAATTTTCCTTTAAAGTGCAAGCAAACATTGGCTACTAAGCTTCTGACCACTACTCATGTTGCAAACCCTGTTTTATTTGTAGGATGTTACAAAGATTTGGAAATTGGAATTTCGTTTGCATTTTGGTATTAACTGTAAAAACAAGCAAAAACAATGAGAAGATAATTTTTTTCGAACCTTCACCTGCCATTCAGCAATGACCGGTTCAATGAACAGTGGCTCTTTATTAGCCTTTTCGAAATTTCTAACTAGCAAAGCTTCTTGTAAATAATTTAGACTTTTTGGTAGAAAAGGCCAATTTCACGCCACCAAGATACTGGTCAAAATTCAAACTACAGTAACATAGAGCGGCATAAATTTTGAATTACTCTGTAGAAACTGCATTTATCTCAGCGCAAAGTTGTTGTTGTATACATTGATTCTTATAATCTATTAAACTTTGTTTAGGTCAACTTGAAACCATAAGAAAGGAGTATAACGAATGTCAGATAGGCCGGGAATCGCTTCAGCAGCAGAAACAGGAGTTGCAAAACGACGTGAGGCGGCAGCACAATAGAATGATTGAAGTTGAAAGTGCGTTTGATGATATCCAGCAGAAAAAAACGTCTCTTCAACAGGAGCTTGGAGAGCTGAAGAAGAATTTCAGTCGTCTTGCGACTGGTGAAGAGAGCTGCCACCAAGAGAAATCGAAGCTTCAGTCAGATGTTCTGACTGCCCAGAAGCAGATTTCTCGCTTGGAGGCAGCTCTTGACGTCACACAGCAAGAGAAGATCGAGCTGCAGCAGGAACTTGGACCGGCATCGCAGCGACTTGTCATGCTTAGAGCCGCTTATGAGGCTGCGCAGCAAAAGAAAGATCAGCTACAGCAAGATTACCTCACTGCACAAAAGAAGACAACTGAATTGGAGGCTGTGAATGAAAGGCTTAGGCAAGAAAAGGGTGAACTTCTCCAGGAGCTTCAAATTGTTAAAAGGAAAATTGTACAAAATGATGTTGAAGTCAGGGAAGTGTACAAAGAACGAAACACTCTGAAGGGACATCTAGATGAATCGAACCGAAAACTTTCTACTGCTCAAGAAGAGATATCTAACCGGCAAAGGCAGATTGAGGAACTGCAGTACAAGTATGAGTCACTGACTCGAGATTTGTCTCAGAGGGACAGCCTGTTTGAGCGCATAAAGATGGAAAGAAGATCTGTGGAGGAAGAGCTCAGGCAATGTGGAAATGACTTAGAAAGGCTGACCAATGAACTGAAAACTGCGCTGAAAGACAACGAAAAACTAAAAGGCGAATTATCGAACGCCCAAAGACGCTATACAGAAACTGATAATCTAATGCGAAAGACCCGAATGGAGAGAGACCAAATACAACGCGACTTTGCTGCACTTGAGCGCTCGGTCGTTGAGCTGCGTGATTTGAGTCATAAACTGCAGAGTGACAAGGAAGATTCAGTTAGAGAGCTGTATTCTGTAACAAACAGACTTTCAAAGGCTGAAGATGACAATGAAGGTCTAGTGCGAGACAATCAAACCCTTGATCGTGAGCTCCAAGCCAGCAAAAACAAGGTTTCTCAGTTGGAGGCGCAGTTACAGGAGCTGCGAAGGAGAGAAGGTCAGATGAAAGGTCAGGTGGATGATGGAGTTAAGAACAAAGAAGAGCTGGTCAGAATTCGGACGTTGGTTAGTGATTATCAGCGAAGGTTGGAAGTTGCAACTCGAGAGCTGGAGCAGAGCAGAAATGCTTTGAATCAAGTTAAAACAGAAAGGTAATCTTGACATTGACATATTTTAGGGGCCCTAAGCACAGGGTCGCTATAGCCTTGCTTCTAATGTTATTATGCAGTTTGCTAATCAACCAATGGCACAATGAAGCTTTTACTGGAAATTTTTTAATTTTGATGATTCATGCATAATGTTTGTGCATTTTTGGATATGATAACGACGCCCTAGCTTCCTATGGAAGATAAAACCATTCACCATTATCCTAATTTCACTATTTGTATAAATTATTTTGTTGGTTTTAAATGACGTATGATTTTGCATTGCCAGGGACTCTATGAAACGCGACACTGAGCGAATCACTCGTGACTTTGATAACTTGAAGTCAGCTCTTGATGCCGCGACCAAAGAGAAGGACCGTTACAGCAAAGAATCGCTCATTGCCCATCGCAAAATCAGTGACTTTGAAATGTTGGTGCAACGTGTGCAAGAAGAGAATATGCTGCTTAAGAAGGATTTGAACTCATCACATAACAAAATGAACAGCCTGCAAAAGGTTGTAGACAGAGCCACAGCAAATCACAGTAAAGTTGTAAATGAAGCGAATATGTATAGGGAGAATGCCACTCGTCTTGAGAATGAAGTTCTAATTGTGAAAGAAGAAGCAACAAGCTTCCAATCACAGGTAAGACCATTCTTAAAAGATCCTTTTGGTTAATGTTCATTACACTTTAAGTATATTGTTAGCAAAAAAATATTTTCTCCCAGTCTGTCAATATCTTTTTGAATGGCTAAAAAGAATCTTAAAATTTTCGTTTTTTTGTTTCCGACAAAGTCTTAAGCAAGCTTCGTTTCCTCTTTTTCAATGTAGGTTAACATCTTTGAGAACGAGAGCGAGACACTTAAACAAGACTTTGACAAAGCGCAACGTCGCATTTTCGAACTTGAAGCCATGCACGAAATTGTTGCAAAGGAAAATGAGAATATCAAAGATGGAGTTCATGAGAAGGTGAAGGAGCTTGAGGAAGAAGTTCGTACGCTCGATAATCAAAATAAAAACCTCCGAATTCAAGTTGAAGAATACAAAACACGATCAAGAAAGCTACAGGAAGAAAATTCAAGCTTGTCACGTGATTCAAGTGATTTTCAAGAAAGATACGAGAGCTTTACACGTGACGTTACGAATAAGGACAGGCAGATAGAACAACTGAAACAAGAGCTCGCAGGAATTGGAAGGGATTACGAACAATTAAGAAAAGAGTTCGACAATCAGCGACTTGTTATTGACAAGGTCACGGAAGAAAGGCAGGACCTAGGAAATGACTTTGAGTCGATGAAACAAAGATGCTCTCAGATGGAAGGCTTGCTAAGAAACAGTGAAGATGAGAGAGATAAGATCCAGAAAGAGATGAGCGAAATGCACCGAAAGCTAATGGAGGTATGTTAGTTTGTTTTTAAAAGACTGAATTTTGACCTATTACGATTAATTTTACATGCATGTCTCATTATTATTTTGAATTGGAAGCATGTAGGATAACTTCATGTACACTGAACTCATGTACCTTAATAAGATATAATCAGATAGATATGATGGTATTACAAGTCTATAAACGATCATCCGTTCAAGACATCTAGGTCCTATTAAATTCTTTCGATACCATTCAGTTATGTTGTGACTTGGGCGGGACATAGGTGTGCACCACAGAGAGACACATGCCTTCTAACAAGAAGATATATATTTATGATGATTATAAGTGATTATTTATACTCAAGAGAGAGAACCTCTCTCCATGCCTCGTGCATCTAATTCTAATCAATACTGGCGACGGGAGGGCGTAATGCGAAGAGATGCCGGAAATGCCAAATATGGTAAGACCTTCTCACCATGTGTCCCGGAGCCCTGGACCAAAATGGAGGTTTTCTGTCTCCTTCGCAATAAGTTATGTGTATATGTAACATAAGTATTGAAAGTTGTAGAGGCAATTTTAACTAGGGGTGTCTCAATACTCTGTCTTTCAGGTCGAAGCTGATTATGAGAATGTCCAACGCGATTCTGAGAGAGATGCCCGTAACTATCAGCAAAGGATAGCAAAGCTCGAATCTCAAATTGAAATAACCTTCAAAGATAGGGACTACATCGTAGAACAACTCGACAACGAAAGGATCAGTGCGGCTAGATATAAAGAAGATTACGAGCGTGTCCAGCGAGAATATCTGGAGCATCAAAAGATTTGCGAGCGATACGCCGATCAGCTCATTGAAAAAGATCGCATCATCGAAAACCTGAAGAATGAGATATACCGACTTGAAGCCGAATTTGATACCATGAGAGAACAACTGCGTAAAGCACAAATGCAACTTGACATTGCTGAAAAACAGAGGGACAAGGCTGAAGAGAAGCTTGAGGAGTCTGAAAAAAGAAACGACGAGCTTGAAAATGAGAACGATTTCCTGAAAAAGAGGTTGAATGACCTTGAACGTGAGAACACGATTATGAGCACAAGACTTGGCGATTTGGAGACTGAGACCAAGAATCTCCGAATCAGAGTCAAGGAACTTGAAGATGAGCTTAGAAATGCAAGAGGTACTATCAATTCCCTGGAAGCTGATTTGACGAACGCCAAAAACACTATCCGAGACAAAGACGCACTTATCGAAAAACTGAAAAACTCCCTTGAAAACCTGACAGAACAGGTCCAGAACTTGCAGAAACAACTCGGACAGCTCGAAACCGCCTATGAATTCTCAGAGCAAGAGAAGGATGATCTGAGAGCCCAATTATCTGCTGCTGAAAGACAAATAAACGAACTTAGGTAAGTTCGCTATCAAACAGTCAGTATCAAGCGGCTTTTCTTTAACGTAGTTTTATGTGCAGTTTGCCGCGACAATTGAATGAAATCTAGCAAGCGAAAAAATGCAAAAGATGGAAAAATACTTACAAATTATAACGCAATGAAGTACAATTTTGAATTGTTTGAAGAACATGCAAAGCTTGTATAATTTTTTCTCCCCAGGCCTGTTCTGAGGAATATCGAGTTTTCCTCGGTGCTCCATAAAAATATTTCATGTTTTCACTTTCTTTTTCCATCGCAGAAATAACTTTGACCGATGTTTGCAAGAAGCAGAGTCTCTTGAACATGAGCTCAATGTCATGAAAAACCGACTCTCTAAAATTGAGCCTCAGTTGAAAAACGTTACTAAGCAACGAGATGAATATAAGGACCAATATGAGACTGTGAAAAAGAGGCTCACCGCCTTGAAGGAAGAGGTTAGTAATCCTCACTGTTTCCATTTCGTGTCAATTTTTTAATCTCTTGAATACATTAATGTTACATCCAACGTTATTTTTTAAGTTAATCAGCCCCGTCTCCTGGTATGTTAAAAAATCTGTTCTGATATATATTGCATAACTTTCGTATTACTTAATTTCCCTTTGCGTTTTACTTAAATCTCTTTATTTGGTATAAATTATTGGCTTGTAACTGTTTTTTTGTAACTTGATTTTTGACAGATAAGTTTGAAACCAGATATCATACTTAAACATAATCAACCTGTAACAAATTTTAAATGAAAATAATTTAAAATAAAATGAATTGTTTTCACTCAATTATAGTTCTTATACTCTCATGGATAGTAATTTATCACATTATTAAATATTAGTGTTGCTTTCATCAATTTTGAAATTATTGGTATGATAAGGTCTTTTATTGTACGGGAATCTGATGTTTGCAACAATATTTTTGTAGCTTGTGAAAGCTCAACGACAACTAACAGAGGCTCAGCGTGCAGCGGACAATTATCGAAAAGAATCTCTGAACCGTGAAAAGCTCCTTGATGAAGCAAAAGCCCGGATACTGGCACTTGAAAGGACAGTTGCTGGTTTGAGGGAAGAGCTGGCTGGCAAACATCATGAGAATGAAAATCTTCAAAATGAGAAGCGCATTATACAAGAAGAGCTTTTGAGAATACAGCAGAAATTTGGTGATCTTGAGTCTGCAAATCAAATATTGGCAATGGAAAAGGATCGTCTGAACGAGGAACTGTTGACTTTCAATGGAAAGTACACTGAGCTAAGGATTAAGTTTGATAAAGCAGACCAAGACAAGCTAGAATACCAACGTCAAGCAATGGGGTACGAACAAAGGCTAGGAAAGTTGGAGCCTCAACTCAAAGAGGCCTTAAAGCAGAACTCAGTTCTTCAGATTGAAGTCGAAAGGCTGGTTGAGGATCTGCGTGTGGCAACAAACGATAATCAGAACTTAAAGAGACTCCTTGAAACTGTGACAAAAGAGAGAGATGATTTATTGAAAGATGTCAACGAAAAAGATGGTGTTATCGAGCAACTGAAGGCAAAGATGCTGTTTATTGAAGCCGATCTACGTATGTTGAGACAGGAGAACGAAAAGCTGAAGCAGTCGGTTGATTCATTAGATCAAGAGAAGCGTTCATTGCAGCAAAGACTTGCTGCAGCGAACGATAAGATCCGGGAACTTGAAGAAGCTTATGAGGATGCTAAAACAAAACGCGATCAGTTGCAAGGGGAGCTGCTTGCCCTTCACAAGAAGTTTGTGACACTTGAAACAACTCATAAGAAGACTGTGGAAAAGGAAAAGGAGCTCCAGGGTATTGTTTATGATCTTCGTAGCCGCTTGTCATCACTGGAAGATCAGTTAAATACAGAGAAAAAGCGCGCATCAGAACTTGAGACCATCACTGACAGGCAAAAACAGACAATTTTCGATTTAGAAAGGGAGCTGGAGGAAATTAAACGTGAACTTGTTGGCACTCAGAGGGAAAGGGACGCACTCAGGGTTGAGAACACGGAATTGGTACAGAAGGTCACTCTAATCGAAGGGAAGATCAGCGAATACGAAGCTAGGCTCAAGGATATGGAAGATGAGAAGAACAGTCTTGAGGATGAGATTATTAACTTGAGGGGTTACATCACAAAACTTGAGACTGAACTGCAAAACATTGTAAATGAAAAGAAAGCTTTGCAAGATTTGATTACAGATTTAAGGCAAGAAATCATGAGATACAAGGAGCAAGTCATCAGGCTGGAGGGACAAGTGAGAGAGCAACAAAGAACCATTGATTCACTGCAACAGAGTGTTTACAAGAAAGATCGGCTAATCGAGCAATTGGAGACTCGTATCAAAACCATTGAATCTGATATCGAGAATCTCAGGACTGAGTTGGTAAGCAAGGATGTGATTATTGATGGGTTGGAGCAGGCCAAGCGCGATGCAGAGATTCACGTAAGGAACTACGAAAACAAACTAGGTGCTCTTGAGATGAGGTTTGAGAAAGTCGCAGGTGAGAAGGCTGATGTTGAGAAAGACTACCAGATTGTCGTGAATCGAATTTCAGGTGAGAAAACTGATTCTTTTTTGGGTTTTAACACAGAACTTACATCTGCCTTTGTTTTTAACCAATTGGTGCAAATTTAGCATTTAAGGGATAATGTTACGGCTATGATTATTAGAAACATAAAAATCCAGTTATCTCACCAGATGAAAATAATGCAAGTCCTCTGCATTAAACTGTTGAAACATCTTCCGAAATAGTTCCTTCATCCATGAACCTCCAGACATGACATGATATTTTTTGAACTCTACAAGGCTTGTTTTGTTTAAATTCACTTGAAAATGCTTGTGCAAAACTATTGATCAGTTGTATTTATTTTGTTTGATTTGTGTGTACAGGATACGAATCGCAAGTTGACATCTTGAATCGCGAGAAGACAAACGTCAAACGCGATTTCGAGACAAAACTTGAGAGTATGAGGACAGACAAAGAATCATTATCAAACAGCCTTCTAGAGTCACGTGATGCAAAGCGACAAGTTGATATGTTGCAGCGAGAAGTGCAAGAAAAGAACACTGTAATTGAGCGCCTTCAAGTCATCAGGACCACATTGGAGAATGAAAGAAACACATTTAGGAAGGAGACAAATAATCTCAGAACCCAAATCAATGCCTTGAAAGACCAAGAGAGAATAACGAGAGATGAAATACAAGTATGTGTAGTCTCTATTTTGGGTGATTTTTCAAAAGAAATGAGTTAAGTCCACCCTGTTCTTTTGCCTCTCCCCTCAGAACAGCATTGATATGCCCCGTGCAGCAATCTCGGAAGTCAAATACTTGTCCCTTGAATTATTCTTTTTGACAGCTAAAAAGATAAAGCTGACTTATCGTTTTTTATTCAGCTTTTGATGAAAAGTGTTTTTCAATTATATGTTTTATTGGATTTGCAATTGTTGTGAACGAGATACTTATTCTTTGAAAAAGGAACTGGATACTTGTGAACTTCATCTCTGGATGCCTATTCTTTTAGAAAATTTAGAAATTCTAGATTTGTTATGCTTTTGCTTCCTCTCAGATACATTGCTTTACCATCTCGACAGGTCCTTTTGTCTTCCTTATATGTTGTTGTCGCTTTCATTCAATTCAACTGACTCAAGTGCAAACAAGCCAGGCTGACGGTACTTTAATCTTTCGAAAACAATTTATGAAAAAAACTTTAATGATGTAATGATTGTTGAATTTTAGCTGAATTTACTAGCCATTAAGTACCATACACCAAGTCTGTGTATTTTCGACCTCTGTATTTGTTGAGCTTTCGCTTTGCTGAACTCAAGAAACCTTTAAAAACTTGCTGCTTCTAACACAGTGATACCAATTTCTAACCTTGCTTTCAGATGGCAAATACAAAGATTGCTAACCTTGAGAAAACGGTAATGACATATCGAGCTGAGAAAGACGATGCCCTCCGCCAGTTGGAAACGGTCACACGAAATCTGTCGGATGTGGAATTACAGTTGAAGCGAAGCACTGATCGTGAGGCTAGGCTGCGCGATGAGATCGATGGTTTGACGTCCAAGCTTGAATCGATGGAAACAGACTATCGTGACGTAATCAAAGGAAAGAACGACCTTGAAAGAAACTATAAAACATTGTTGGCAAATTTCAAAGATGTTAATGGGAAATATGAGAAACTTGTCATTGTTCATAATGATACCAAGGAAAAATTTGCTGAGTTGAATGGTACAGTTGCTGATCTCAAGGCGCAATTGAACAAAGAGGTTTTGGAAAACAGGGATTTGAGAGACAAACTTGCCTCACTGAGTGATAATTATGATCGACTGAGGGAAGATTTTGAAAGAGCCAACCAGGAGCTTACTGAGTTGAGATTCAAATTCTCTGATGCACAGAAAGAGATTGCTGACAAAGACAACTTGATATCTGAACTGCGTAGCAAACACGCCAACCTTGAACGTCAATTGAATAACCACAAGCAGTCCTTGGTGCAGCTGCGAAATGATTACGATAGAAGCCAGCGCGAGCTCAATCGTGCTCAGGAAGAGGTCATACAGCTTCAAGACAAAGTTTCAGATTTAGAAGCAAGACTGCAGAAAGCTCTTTTCGAAAAGGAAAAGCTCCTGAAAGAGCTCAACATTGCCACTGCAAAACTGCCTGAGCTTGAGCACGAGGTTGAAAATCTCACCCAGCAGAGGGATGGATTGATTGAGGAAGTGCGTAAACTCAGAACCGAGAACACAAATCTGAAGGGAGATGTCGAGAGCCTGGAGCAGGATGTGATTGACTTAAAGAGCATCAATGACGTTTTGAAAAGAGACATTGCTTCTAAAGATGACTTGATAACCCAGCTGAGAGAAAGAAAGAATGCGTTAGAAGAAGAGGTTGACGATCTTAAGAAAGAGCTGACATCTAAGGAAATGGAAATTGATAACCTTTTCGCAAAATTGCGAGATGCAGAGTCGAAACTTCAAAATGCACATGCAAGGTTGGCTGAGTTGGAACCAGCTTATGAAGCAACTGTGGAGAAGAATAAGAGGCTTGAGAACGAGGTAAGCAGTTTGCTTTCTAGAGAAATTTAATCAGAGAAGATATTCGAAACAATTTTCTATTTAGGGGCGATTGTTTATAATTTTTCTGTGATTTGATGACACTTTTTGTCATGTGTTTGGTCATGGAGGTACAGTCGTGCACTTTGATTTTTAGTTAACTGAAGTTCATCAACAAGATTTTGAAATTTGATTATTTTGAAACTTGGTTATTTTCTAAGCATAATTCTTTAAAGTTGTCAAGTTTCTCAATCTCTTGAACAAATTTTAAGTTGATGTTATTCAAACAGGTTGAAATGTTGCGAGAGAAGATCAGCGATCTTGAAGCTGCCTTGAAAGAAAGCAGAGACAACGAAACGAATCTTCAAAGCAAACTTTCAATAGCAGAAAACAAACTCGTGAAGATCACCAATGCTTTTGAAGAGTTACAGAGAAAGAAAGACGAACTAGAGAGAGACAACGAGCAAGCCAAAGATGAGATCAAAAATCTCCGAGATGCCCTAGAAAAGAGCGAGACGCAGCGAGATATTGTTGAACAGCAACTTTACGATATCAGGTCTGAGTTCGTACAACTGAAATCCATGGTTGACTATTTGACGAAACAGAAGTCCAAGCTCGAAACAGAGTTACGCGAACTGACGTCCGAATTGGAAAATGTTAAAGCGGAAAATCAGAGAATGAGCAGAGACATACAAGAAAAGGCCCTGATAATCCAGTCATATGAGAGAACAATTTCAGAAAAGGAATCAGTTATCGACAGACTAAAATCTGAGAACCAAGCACTTGAGTCAGAGAACAACTCATTGAATGAGACGATGAATAGCCTGCAGGCAACTCTTGAAGTGACTAGGCGACAAAAGGAAGATGCAGAAAGAGAACTTTTTGAGCTTCGAAAGAAGGTCACTGAGATTGAGCTTTCGATAACTGCCATCAAGGAGGAGCGTGACGATCTTGCTTCACAAGTAAAACTACTGCAGGACAAAGTTGCGTTCTTAGAAAGTGAGCTCCGCAAGGCACGCAACAGCGAAGCGACTTTGAAGGGTGAGCTTGATGAATCTAAAGCCCGCAACCAAAGAATCAAGGATGACATCAGCAAGCTCCAGAGACAGGTGGCAGAACTCAAGTCGATCATCGATAACTTGAACAGAGATAACAGTGAAAAGTCATCTATAATCAGTGAGCTTGAAGCTACCAAACGCAATCTGTTGTCGCAAATAAACAGCTTGAAAAAAGAACTCGCTAAATACAAAGACGATTTTGAAAGAGTGAGCAAAGAACATCGCGATACAGAACAGGAATTGCAGACTTACAGAATGAAAGTCTTCCAACTTTCCATTGCGAATACAGCACACAAGGAAGAGAAAGACCGCATCTATAATGACTTCGTCAAGCTTGAGAAGGAATTCAATGAGCTCAAAGACAACTATGTAAATCTGTTAAGAGAGAATGATCGATTGAAAGACGACTATCAATATGCCGAGAAGAAAATCGAGGATCTGGAGGGAATCAATGCTAACCTGAACAGCGAAAATGAAACGCTGAAAATCAAGATGAATGAGCTGAAGAGGAAGATCAACGAGTTGGAGGGTCTCCTTGAAATGTCAAAGCGAGACACCATGCAAAGAACTGAAGAAGTCATGGTTTCAGCAGTCGCGCAAAATTTTGATGCCGCCGCACCTGGATTTGGCATCACGGAAGAAGAGTATGAAGACCTGAGAATGCAATTCGAAGACACAAAAGCAGCTTTGGAGACATCAGAGAGAGAGAAGGATGGTCTTAACGCAGAACTTATTGAACTGCACAAGAAGGTTGCAAGACTGGAAGTTGAGCTTACAAATGCTCAACAAAAGAGAGATGAATATAAAAAGAATGTGATTGTATTGGAAGGAAAAGTCAGGGAGCTGGAGGCTATCAATGAAAGAATGCAAGAACGGGAGAGAGAACTAAGTGATGAGGCATTGAGGAATCACAAGAACTTAGCAGAGGCCCTTCAGCGGGTTTTCATCATCAAAACCAAACTGATGAAAGCAGAGGCAGAGAAAACGACTTTAGAAGATAAGCTAGACGTACTGACAAGGGAACTGTATGATTTCCACGAGAAATTCAGTTTATTACAATCTTCAGTCGATGAAAAAGACAGCAGAATTGAGAGTCTCAATGAAGAACTGTCAGAGGAAAGGAGAAGACTCAGCGAATTGCAATCAGCTCACGACGTGACCACAAATGACAAAGAGAGACTTGCACGTGACATGAAAGATGCCGAGGCTACAATTGAAGACTTGCAAAGGAAGTTGGACGATGCCGAAACAGCCAAAGCTCATCTTGCAAGTCAGCTTGTTGAAGCAAACAGCAGAAACCAACATCTAAAGGAAACTGTGACCGATCTTAGCCAGAAGACAACTGAGTTACAACATGAGATCGACAGGTACACAAGAGAGGTTTCTGAGAAGGTTACGATCATCGAAAGGCTGAAGAATTCAAAGAACATCGTTGAAAATGAGCTGGAAAGTGTCAAAAAAGAGCTTATATCAATGAAGTCAGCTCTTGAAGCAACCAGGTCTGATAATCGACATTTGCAGCAAGAAACTCACGACTTGAAAATGAAATTGATGGAAAACGATTCTGAGAAAGTTATGATAATCGAAGCAAAGGAAAAGGTAAATAAACCTTGAGTTTTTTCATATAGATTCTCAGAACCTGGTATATAATTTTACTTAGGAGTATTTTCACATTGTTACCACTTCATACTCTATACCATTTTATTTCATTATTCCATGTTTTCTAAAAAGTAATTTTATGAAAGCCACGGCGAGTGTATGATTAGCAAATGTCAAAGATGAGTTGGTTATCATGAAAGGAACGTTCATGATATGCCAAAGCCTATCACTATTAGCACTTAATTTGCAAAATGTTTAAAATCGACTTGTTTCTATTTAGATTGAAAAAGATCTCAACGACATACGCAATGAATACAGCAAAATGCAGAATTTATATGAAACTGTGTCCCAAGAAAAGAACCGTCTTGAGTACGAAATCAAGCTGATTTCAAAGAGAACTGGAAATTCTGACTTTGAATCCATCAAGATTGAGAGGGACAGGCTGCAGAAAGAGATTGTCAACATCAATAGAAGCTACCTCCAAATCAAAAGCACAAACGAAGCTCTTGAAAACGAAAAACAGGAATTGGTGAAGAAGATTTCCGACCTTGAGAGCGCTGGCTCTGATTCAGACATACTATTGAAACATATTCAACGAGAGAAAGAGAAGTTAGAGAACGATTTGTTTATCGAAAAATCTAAAACTGAGAAGTACGAGGAGACGAACCAGAATCTTGAAAACGAGCGTTCACAGTTGCAAGACGACTTGGAAATGGTACATCGCAAGTTGAGCAAGCTAGATGGAGATTATCAGATCGTGGTTACAAAGAGAGACGAGCTACAGAAGGAACTCACCGCTGCTAATTCTCGTCTATCAAATCTGCAAGCTAACTATCAAAAGAGTCAAGTGAGGGAAAATAAGCTGCAAGGTGAAGCCATGTCTGCCATCAAAAGAGTAGCTATCTTGGAGAACGAACTCACCTCAACTCGCGACCGTGTTGTCATGCTCGATCGAATAATTAAGGTTGTCGAAGAGAAGAAAACCGAGCTTGTGGATGAGTATGCGCAGGTGAAGAAGCGGGTGTCTGAGCTCGAAATTACGCTGGAAACTTCCCAAGACAGATATAATGATCAGAAATCTGAGCTTGTTACCACACGAAAGAAGCTGGATGAGTTGCGAGATGCATGCAGATTGAGTGACATGGGTCGCGAAGAGCTTGTCTCTGAGATTGAAACATTGTCAAGCACAATTACTCGATTAGAGGGCAGGTTGGAACAAGCACAAAAAGAGAAGGAGAATTTGGAGAGGCTGTTGGATGAGGCACGTAATCGCACTGCACAAGATCGGGAGGAATTACTGAGAATGCAGAAGCAATTCTTGGAAATGCAACGCAAGTGTGACAGCTACTCCAAAGAGTTAGTATACAAGAGTACCCTGATTGAAGAAATCAAGAGCAAAAAAGTCGTACTCGAAGGCGAAGTTGCGTCGCTGAAACGGGATCTGCAGAATAAGGAATATGAAGTGCAGACCTATGAAGGTGAAAAGAAAGATATTCAACAGGAGCTGGAAAACCTAAGGAAGAAATTCTCTGAAATGGAGTCACTGTTTATTTCTGTTCAAGAAGAAAAAGATCATCTCAGGCAAGAGATGTTGCAGTCACATGCATCTGTTTGCCGTCTGAAGGAAAACTACGAAACAAGCCAAGGAGATAAGGGTAAACTGCAAAAAGAAATCGCTGCCTTCCATAAGAAGATATTTGAATTATCACGTGATTATGAATCCAGCAAAGCAGATAACGAGAGGCTGAAGAGCGAGCTGGTTAGGCTTCGAGATCAAGTTGGTGACCTTCGTGCGAGTCTTGAGCTGGCACAGCAAGATAACAATAGGCTGAGACAGGAAACTGACAGCTTCCAAGACAAAAACAGGAGGCTTGAAAAAAGCTTGAAAATGTCTGAGGATGAACTCGAAAAGGCAAAAGGAGAGTTCTTAGAAAGGCATCAGAAAGCCATGGATTTTGTTGTTGAGTTTCAGGCTGCTAAGGAAGAAAAGGAATCTCTGAATTATACAGTCAACATGCTGAAAGAAGAGAACGACAAGCTCAGGGAAGATCTTAATACATGCACCCGAAAGAATGAGCAACTGCACGATGAGACACTCAACACACACAAGCAGTACACCAAAGTCATGGCCGACTACGACAGAGTACAGGAAAAAGAAGACAAGTTGGAAGCCGAGCTTGATGAAGCCAACGAGAAGATTCGAAATCTCGAAAATGAACTGATGTCCACCACTTCTCAAGTTCATGATCTCAACAGTGAGCTTGACCATGCAAGAGAAAAACTCATGAGGGTAGAGGGTGCCAACGAAGGCCAGATCCAAGAAGCAATGCGGTTGGCTGATAAACTAAAAGATGCAGAGGCAATGCTGGTTAAACTTAGAATGGCGGATGAAGAAAACCAGAGATTGAAAGATGAATTAGGTAAGTTAATTTTTTGGTTTCAAACATTTGCGTCTATACTGACAAAAACTTCAAGATTTATCTTTGGTTCCCTACTGCTTGTATTTGCTAAATTAACTTTTTATGATTTCAGTCCAAGTAGACCCTCAATTTCTCAATTTCACAATTTTTCATGAATGCGTTCCTCATGTTTGTTATGATTTTCATTACCCAGGAGTATCGCGTCAGCATATCAGCAAAATTGAAACGGATCTGAGAGCAGCAGAAAATGATCGCAAGTTGACTTCTGAACAATACAATCAAAGCAAAGATCAACTCAATCGTGTGAACGAAGAACTCAGCGAGTTGCAGAAAAGGCTGAGATCAACAGGCTCAGACAACGAAAAACTCTCCAATGATCTCTACAAGGTCGGCCATGAAAAGGACAGTGAGATTGAAAAACTTAAGTCTAGCATTAGGTTACTTGAACGTGAGATCGATTCGCTCAAACGAGAAGTTGATCAAAACAAAGAACAATACGAAATGGAGCACAGAGAGAAAGTCAATGTTCAGCAAGAGTTGAATGTCATTTCGAAGAAGTTGTTGAATTTGGAACTTGCTTACATCTCTGCTAAGGATCAAAAGGACCAAAGAGAATGGGAGGGAAAGAGTGACCTTGAAAGAACAGTCGAAGACCTGAGGAGCATGATCGATCATACGGAGCGAGAATTGCAAGAAAGATCGAGACAGTACTCTGAACTGGAGAATAGGTAAGCTTTCAGGTCTAACAAATTGTATTTTGATGTTTAAAATTGAGCAAAATATTCGCTTAAAATATGAATTTAAAAAGTGCTATGATATAGAAACAAATGCATTTACTGTTTTATTGTAGTCTGCGTGATTCACAGCGGGAGAGAGATTCGTTCAAGAAGGAGGTTGAAGGGCTTCAAGGCAGCCTACAGTCTTTGAATTTCTACCACACTGCACAGCAAGGAGAGAAGGCCCAATTAGAAGAACAACTTCAAACAGCACAGAAGAGGTTGAATGATCTGGAGGCTGAGTATAATCGTGAAAAACAGCAGCAACAACAGTTCGATAGCGAAATTACAGTTTACAAGTCAAAGATAAATGACTACGAGACCAGATACCAGTCTGCAGAAATGAAACACCGCGAGGTTACCCGTGACGTCTCCGACATGAAACAGAGGATAGATGTCCTTACTAGAGAAAATAACCGCTTGAAAGATGAGCTCAGCGAGGAACAGAACCGTATGAAGAACAATAAACGTGAATTTGCACGCCAGCTTCGAGAACATCAAAGGGCGAGTGAAAAATACTTGACTACAACAAGAGACAAGGATACGTTTATTGAGGAGCTCAAGTCAAAAAGATCAGCCTTGGAAACAGAAGTTGAGAAGTTGAGGCATGAATGGGAAAAACTCAAAGCTGATTACAAGAAGGTATGATTACAGCAATTCCGATAGATATCTTGCCTGTCATACTTTAAAAAACTCGATGAATTCATCCTTCCTCTATTTCTCTTTTTGCTGACCTACACGAATATGTTGCCTAAATTTTAGAGGGCAACGGAGTGTGGAAGAAATGTGACGTAGGATACACGTGTAATGAACAGCTTTCTAATGGATGCATTCGTTTGAGAAGGTTGGCGAATAGAAGACTCGCACTAAAATTGACTACTGATTGCCTCAAAGAATTGAATAAATCAAGCAATGTTATTTAGCGTTGCTCGCAATAACTGTGATGACCGAATACCAAAAGAACCCAATTGCGCATCTGTAAAAAATTTCATTTTACTTCCAGGTGCAAAGAGAAAAGGAGAACATAAGAACTGACTTCCAATCTGCCAATAATCTTCTGGCTGAGTTTAAAGAAACTTGTGAGACGTTGAAGAGAGAAAAGATTACGATTGAAAAAGAAATTCGCATCAGCACGGAGAAATATACCAGGGAAATCAGAGAGAAGGATGTTCAAATCAAGAAGGTAATGTTTTATCAAATTGTGTTTTTTATATTCAAGGAACGACAATGTTTTTAGATTTTATTAATTGAATCCAAATACCTGCGCCCTTTAAAACTCGTAAAACATGGCCCTTGTAAACCAGCATTGGTGAATGACCAACCATTCTTAAATAAATGAAAATGAAATGAAACGAATAAAACGACTGATTGCCGTGTATTTGAAAGCTATTTGCGTTTTTGTACTAGCGCCGTTATGTTATTTCTACAAATCTAGAACAGAAACAATACTGTCGTGATAGCCAAGGAAGTAACCCGTGTAAAAAATGACAAAACAAGTATCACCGCTCATAATCTTCTTTGCCAAGGTTTCTATTTGTACATATTTCGAAATCCGTACGGAGACCAGAACGCCTAACACCACGCTATCCAATGTCAGAATCAATGTGGCTAAGTTACCGTGTTTAGTTTAGGCGTGGTAAATTCAAGCTTCAGTATTTGAATAAAAAACGGGCTACGTTGAAGAAATCAGCATGCGAATACGATTTTTAGGTAGAAAATGATCTGCAGCAAAGCCTGAAATCACATGAACTGGGTAACGATGACCGAATCCGACAAATCCAAGCTCAGCTTCAAGAGGAACGCAATGAAGCTAGGCGCGAGATTACGGAGAAGATTAGTGAAATCGAGAAATTGATGCATCAGATAACTAGCCTTGAAAGCGAGGTAGACAGGCTAAGACACGAGCTTTCAAACTTGAAATCCAGATGCGATGAGTACGATCATGATCGCCAAGACTATGAGGATGAAATAAAGAGACTACGTGATGGTGCAACCGTTGAGGAGGAGAGAGCAACAACAACGCTGGTGCTAGAGACCCAAGCACGCCCCGATGAAAAGCACGTTTCTATGAGTAAGTAAAGAAATTCTTCTGATAAAAATTTAACAATTTATCATTTTCGATTTTTCTTTTTGTTCACATATTGAGGCACGGTTAGAAAAGTTGGAGCTGAAGCATGTTTAGGTTTTTTATTTTCAATTATCACATCTCTTTTTACTAAATTTTCATATTAATCGTTTGTTAATTTCAGGCGAATTTTATGTTGCTCCTCGTGAATCGTCAACTCTGCTTGTTGGTGTTGGCCCAAAAGAAGAACGGCCAGAACCACGCTATCAGTCAAGCTTCTATCGAAGCACGGCGCAAATAGCTACAAGCCCACGAAATCTAGGGCCTGTTGATGTGACTGTTACCGGAGTCAGTGATGTCGTTGATTCGTCGAGCTTTGATGTTAAGACAACAAGCAAGACATCAACTATATCGAGGTCAACGTCGTCATCAAAGAGCGTCTCGTCTACAAGGACAACTTCAACCGGTCTAGCAGGAAGGAATACTACGACAGTTGGCTTTAGGAGAGATGCCGCTGATTCAAAAACCATGTACAGTGGGCCTGGAGAAACTGTTGAAGTGCAATTACAAGGGTCAGAAAGAAAGTGAGTTCATAATTTCAAAATCAGTGGATAATAATTGACAGGATTGTTATGAGAGGATCAGTAATAAAAACCAATGCGATACTTATTACATAACTATGGTTAATCCTGGATTGTTTCCAAAACATTCTCTATAGTACTTGGACATTTTTGTAAGACTTATTTATATTTAGGAAGAAATAAAACCCAGTCATTCGCAGAACTACCTTTTATTCCTTGTGCATCTTTTTAAGATGTAGAGATTTATACTATGTGCATTTTTACAATAGGGTTGAATACAAGGATGCAGAAGAGCCCATAGAAACGGCTAAGGGGTATTCATCTCACCAAACTCTCCAAGAGGGAGACGATGACCTAAAGAGAATAATCGAAGAATCAAGAAACAGAAGGAAGAGGATGAAGGAAGAAATGTTCTCGAGCTCATAGTGACTTTCAAACTTTTATAGAGTATTAACCAATTATTATTGTTATGAATAGTTAATAGTATTTCACCTAGTAGCTGTAGTTATATTCACTGCTTGGGTGACATGATTAAACATATGTCGAGACCCCTACCTTTCAGGTATTTTATTTTGTATTGATAGCTATAGCTTCATAGTGTTACGCAATGTTTGACGTTAGCAAAACCGCTTAGGCCATGTGTTAGTAAACGCCTTCCTTCTACAGGATCCTGTTGATTCATTCAAAGAGGAAAATTGTATAAATTTCATTATAGAGTTGGTATTTCAACCAAAATTAAGCCCGAGTCTCTACAAAGTTTCTCTCCAGTCCAAATGAACTCAAGCCTACAAATTTTATTTTTCCACTAAGTTCTAGATAAAATTTGCGAGACCATTTTCGATATCTCTTTAGATTTTTCTGCAAAAGCCTATATAGATTTTTTCTGCAATATATAGTGCCGAGTCGTTAAAAGACAAGTCAATCACATTTCACATGTTTTCAATCTTTGTCATCAAAGCAGGTCACTATTTGTTATCGTTAATTCTGGTTTTTCCACTATTTATATCAACTGTTTTGTAGCATTTTATACATCATTTACTTCTCAGTATGTTTTACCGTTATTTAAAGCGCAAATGAGCTAGAATAGTTGTCTAAGATTTTGCATATTAATGTTGCTGTTATACCAGTAGTTGTATGTGTTGCAGAATAGCAAAAAGATTCTGTTTTAGCACTTCAAATTGTTTTTCTGTTTATTTGATAACTTTGACCAAAGTACCCTTGAGTGAGTTGCTCTTTTCTTGCATCACTGTGCAAAATTGTTTTCATTTTAAATATGACAAGGGAAAACACAAATTATAAATAATCTCCCTTAATTACCAAATTTCCTAAGCTTTAATTTCTTTCAACATTAACCATTCCAAAAATTTGACTTTCATTCAAGAACTAACTTCATTTCTTTTTCAATCTAATAATGTAGAGCAAAAGTAATCTGTTGTTTGTAAGAAAAAGTTGAGAAAAAAATTTGCCGTTTTTGTAACCCTGTAGCTTTACTTTTTTGTCGAAAATAGGCACATCTAAAAAATGCTACTTTTTGAAAGTAAGACTTGTATTCAAAATTAAAGCCAGTTCATGACTGTTCTTAGACTGTAGAAACAAATTTTTCTATTTTTTGAGGGATAATTTCACAGAAAAAAATTGACCGTTTTTGTAAGCCTATAGCCTTACTTTTTTGTCGAAAAAAGACCCAACTAAAAAATGCTGTTTCTTTGAAAGTATTACTTGTATTCAAGAGTTAAAACCAATTGATGATTATTCTTAGACTGTAGAAACAAAATATTCCATTTTTTAAGGAAAAATTTTACCGATTCAAATTGACCATTTTTGTAAGCTTATAGCCTTACCTTTTGGTTGAAAAAAGACCCATCTGAGAAAATGTTGTTTCTTTGAAAGAATTACTTGTATGCTAGAATTAAAGCCAATTCATGATTATTCTTCGACTGTAGAGACAATTTATTCTATTTTTTTTGCGGAAAACTTTTACCGATGATAATTGACCATTTTGGTAAGCCTATAGCCTTACTTTTTTGTCGAAAAAAGTCCCAACTAAAAAATGCTGTTTCTTTGAGAGTATTACTTGTATGCTAGAGTTAAGCCAGTTCATGACTGTTCTTAGACTGTAGAAACAAATTATTCTATTTTTTGAGAAAAAATTTTACCGATTAAAATTGACCATTTTTGTAAGCCTATAGCCTTACGTTTTGGTCGAAAAAAGACCCAACTAAAAAACGCTCTTTCTTTGAAAGTATAACTTGTATTCAAGAATTAAAGCCAGTTCATGACTGTTCTTAGACTGTAGAAACAAATTATTCTGTTTTTTGAGGAAAAATTTTACTGATAAAAATTGACCATTTTTGTAAGCCTATAGTCTTACCTTTTGATCGAAGAATGACCCATCTCAAAAAATGCTGTTTCTTTGAAAGTATGACTTGTATTCAAGAATTAAAGCCAGTTCATGACTGTCCTTAGACTGTAGAAACAAATTATTCTATTTTTTGAGGAAAAGGTTTACTGATAAAAATTGACCATTTTTGTAAGCCTATAGTCTTACCTTTTGGTCGAAGAAAGACCCATCTCAAAAAATGCTGTTTTTTTGAAAGTATTACATGTATTCAAAAATTAAAGCCAGTTCATGCTTGTTCTTAGACTGTAGCAACAAATTATTCTATTTTTTGCAGAAAAAATTTACCGATAAAAATTGACCATTTTTGTAAGCCTATAGCCTTACTTTTTTGTTGAAAAAAGACCCAAATAAAAAATGTTGTTTTTTTGAAAGTATTACATGTACTCAAGAATTAAAGCCAGTTTATGCTTGTTCTTAGACTGTAGCAACAAATTATTCTTTTTTTTGCAGAAAAAATTTACCGATAAAAATTGACCATTTTTGTAAGCCTATAGCCTTACTTTTTTGTCGAAAAAAGACCCAACTAAAAAATGCTGTTTTTTTGAAAGTATTACATGTACTCAAGAATTACAGCCAGTTTATGCTTGTTCTTAGACTGTAGCAACAAATTATTCTATTTTTTGCAGAAAAAATTTACCGATAAAAATTGACCATTTTTGTAAGCCTATAGTCTTACCTTTTGATCGAAGAATGACCCATCTCAAAAAATGCTGTTTCTTTAAAAGTATGACTTGTATTCAAGAATTAAAGCCAGTTCATGACTCTCCTTAGACTGTAGAAACAAATTATTCTATTTTTTGAGGAAAAAGTTTACTGATAAAAATTGACCATTTTTGTAAGCCTATAGTCTTACCTTTTGGTCGAAGAAAGACCCATCTCAAAAAATGCTGTTTTTTTGAAAGTATTACATGTATTCAAAAATTAAAGCCAGTTCATGACTGTTCTTAGACTGTAGAAACAAATTATTCTATTTTTTGAAGAAACAATTTACCGATAAAAATTGACCATTTTTGTAAGCCTATAGCCTTACTTTTTTGTCGAAAAAAGACCCAAATAAAAAATGCTGTTTTTTTTTAAAGTATTACATGTACTCAAGAATTAAAGCCAGTTTATGCTTGTTCTTAGACTGTAGCAACAAATTATTCTATTTTTTGCAGAAAAAATTTACCGATAAAAATTGACCATTTTTGTAAGCCTATAGCCTTACTTTTTTGTCGAAAAAAGACCCAACTAAAAAATGCTGTTTTTTTGAAAGTATTACATGTACTCAAGAATTAAAGCCAGTTTATGCTTGTTCTTAGACTGTAGCAACAAATTATTCTATTTTTTGCAGAAAAAATTTACCGATAAAAATTGACCATTTTTGTAAGCCTATAGCCTTACTTTTTTGTCGAAAAAAGACCCATCTAAAAAATGCTGTTTCTTTGAAAGTATTATTTGTGGTTAAGAATTAAAGCCAGTTCATGAATGTTCTTAGACTGTAGAAACAAATTATTCTATTTTTTGAAGAAAAATTTTACTGATAAAAATTGATCATTTTTGTAAGCCTTTAGCCTTACTTTTTTGTCGAGAAAAGATCCAACTAAAAAATGCTGTTTCTTTGAAAGTATTACTTGTATGCAAGAGTTAAAGCCAGTTCATGACTGTTCTTAGACGGTAGAAACAATTTATTCTATTTTTTGAGGAAAAATTTTACTGATAAAAATTGACCATTTTTGTAAGGCTATAGTCTTACCTCTTGGTCGAAGAAAACCCATCTCAAAAAATGCTGTTTTTTTGAAAGTATTACTTGTATTTAAGAATTAAAGCCAGTTCATGACTGTTCTTGGACTGTAGAAACAAATTATTCTATTTTTTGAGGAAAATTTTTCTGATAAAAATTGACCATTTTTGTAAGCCTATAGTCTTGCCTTTTGGTCGAAGAAAACCCATCTCAAAAAATGCTGTTTTTTTGAATATATAACTTGTATTTAAGAATTAAAGCCAGTTCATGACTGTTCTTGGACTGTAGAAACAAATTATTCTATTTTTTGAAGAAAAAATTTACCGATAAAAATTGACCATTTTCGTAAGCCTATAGTCTTACCTTTTGGTCGAAAAAAGACCCAACTAAAAAACGCTCTTTCTTTGAAAGTATAACTTGTATTCAAGAATTAAAGCCAGTTCATGACTGTTCTTAGACTGTAGAAACAAATTATTCTGTTTTTTGAGGAAAAATTTTACTGACAAAAATTGACCATTTTTGTAAGCCTATAGTCTTACCTTTTGATCGAAGAATGACCCATCTCAAAAAATGCTGTTTCTTTGAAAGTATGACTTGTATTCAAGAATTAAAGCCAGTTCATGACTGTCATTAGACTGTAGAAACAAATTATTCTATTTTTTGAAGAAAAAGTTTACTGATAAAAATTGACCATTTTTGTAAGCCTATAGTCTTACCTTTTGGTCGAAGAAAGACCCATCTCAAAAAATGCTGTTTTTTTGAAAGTATTACATGTATTCAAAAATTAAAGCCAGTTCATGACTGTTCTTAGACTGTAGAAACAAATTATTCTATTTTTTGAAGAAACAAATTACCGATAAAAATTGACCATTTTTGTAAGCCTATAGCCTTAATTTTTTGTTGAAAAAAGACCCAAATAAAAAATGCTGTTTTTTTGAAAGTATTACATGTACTCAAGAATTAAAGCCAGTTTATGCTTGTTCTTATACTGTAGCAACAAATTATTCTATTTTTTGCAGAAAAAATTTACCGATAAAAATTGACCATTTTTGTAAGCCTATAGCCTTACTTTTTTGTCGAAAAAAGACCCAACTAAAAAATGCTGTTTTTTTGAAAGTATTACATGTACTCAAGAATTAAAGCCAGTTTATGCTTGTTCTTAGACTGTAGCAACAAATTATTCTATTTTTTGCAGAAAAAATTTACCGATAAAAATTGACCATTTTTGTAAGCCTATAGCCTTACTTTTTTGTCGAAAAAAGACCCATCTAAAAAATGCTGTTTCTTTGAAAGTATTATTTGTGGTTAAGAATTAAAGCCAGTTCATGACTGTTCTTGGACTGTAGAAACAAATTATTCTATTTTTTGAAGAAAAAATTTACCGATAAAAATTGACCATTTTTGTAAGCCTATAGTCTTACCTTTTGGTCGAAAAAAGACCCAACTAAAAAACGCTCTTTCTTTGAAAGTATAACTTGTATTCAAGAATTAAAGCCAGTTCATGACTGTTCTTAGCCTGTAGAAACAAATTATTCTGTTTTTTGAGGAAAAATTTTACTGATAAAAATTGACCATTTTTGTAAGCCTATAGTCTTACCTTTTGATCGAAGAATGACCCATCTCAAAAAATGCTGTTTCTTTAAAAGTATGACTTGTATTCAAGAATTAAAGCCAGTTCATGACTGTCCTTAGACTGTAGAAACAAATTATTCTATTTTTTGAGGAAAAATTTTACTGATAAAAATTGACCATTTTTGTAAGCCTATACTCTTACCTTTTGGTCGAAGAAAGACCCATCTCAAAAAATGCTGTTTATTTGAAAGTATTACATGTATTCAAAAATTAAAGCCAGTTCATGACTGTTCTTAGACTGTAGAAACAAATTATTCTATTTTTTGAAGAAACAAATTACCGATAAAAATTGACCATTTTTGTAAGCCTATAGCCTTACTTTTTTGTTGAAAAAAGACCCAAATAAAAAATGCTGTTTTTTTGAAAGTATTACATGTACTCAAGAATTAAAGCCAGTTTATGCTTGTTCTTATACTGTAGCA